ATCACTTTTGTTAAAAAAATAATTACTCATTTCGTATAATATAGAATTTAAGCCATACTATTTATATTTAAAGCGTAATAACTATTGGCCCAGTAATGGTCCCTATCTAGGATTTTGTACAAATATTAAGATATATAATGTCTATTTGTTAAAAAATTTTGAAAGAAAAAAAAGGGCAATTTTTATTTTATAACCATTTCCGGTTTTCTATTTCCGGTTTTTGGTAATAAAATTATTTTTAATATAATAAATTTTATATCATATTAAAGGGCTATTCTAGAGTTATATAATAAAGTTTAAATTATATTTTTAGCTTAATTACTTTTTGAGATATTTAAAATTAAATATGGTGTATTTTGAACTTTTCGCGTTTCTAAAGATGGCCATATCTCATAAAGTAAGCTGAGTTGTGAATTAAAATTTTATATTATTGCTAGTTAGTGTATATACTACCATCATCAAATTTTAAAAAAAATCGAAGAGGGTCGGGTTGAATCTTCAGTTGATTTGATATGGAATACAACATATATTTTCAAGGAAATTAAAATTTTTCTTAGCATGAAGTGCTCAACACATTCTGATATCAAAACTAGATTTCTTGGGGACCTATTCGTATATATAGATTGATCGTTCCATTGCCATATTCGGATGTCTGTAAGTCATAACGTTTTAAGGAACTCGTCAGCTATTTAATTCACAATAAAAATGTTTCGATTTACAAATACTGAAACTGTGTAATTAACTCATTTATTTCTTTTAAACTTAACAGTATATCATAGTATTTTCATCGATTATTACTAGGCGTGTTAAAAAATATTGGATCGGGCAGATATTTCTTGAAAACCCTATCGGATGTTTTTTATATTTTTTTTGGTTATTTTATGATTGTATATTTAATCATATAATTTTTTTTTATTTTATAAATAATTTCATAATGATAAATAAATTAAAGAAACTAAAATATTATTTCACTATTTTTTGTTATATTTATTATTTATATGCAACAAGAAAAGGATTTTTAAATATCTAATGTGTAACATTCAGCTAATGTTGTTAAACGAATCTAGCAATTTTTAAAAACGTTAAACTCACGATTTTGACCATCAGTACTTAATATTACATACTGACAGGGAAAAGTCTCAAAATTTATAATTCTTACCTATTTATTTTTATACTTCCTGTTTTTATTAATATAACTGCTCATTTCTTATCATTTAAAAAATGTAAATTAATATTACTAACTTTTTTTTCGTAAGACACTAAATTTTATTAAATTTTAGTTTTCTATTATTATTTTTTTAAAAAATAAATTTTCTAAATTCGAAAAAATGATTTAGACCACTTTTATTTTTAATTAAAAATAGCGTATGTTATTTTTTTTATTAAAATTAAAAAATTTATTTAATTCTATTTTTGATATTTATAGGTCATAGCCATTTTGAATTTAACTTTATGGTTAAATTGATATCGATCAGATAAATAAATTAATTTACTCTATCGAGACTAATATAGATTCAAAAACCGTTTTACAGATATGTATATGTTCGGTTCAGAAAACTATAAAAGGTTCATTCCCTCCAGGTCCTTGTTAAATTATATCCTTGAAAATAAATCTTTGTTTATCTATTTTTATATTCAATTTAAATGTGACAAATTCTTCCTTTTTGTAAATGTGTTGTGTGTAGGGATGTAAATTTCCCGGGAAACTATATTTAGGGAAATTTGGGGAAACAACTGGAAACTATCTTTTTTATAATAATTTACAGGTCAATATTGATTTCTTTTCATGATTGAAAATATAGTAATTATAAACATTATAATTAACAAATATAATTTAATTTCAACCAATTTGTGATTTCTTTACATGTTATATTTGAAATCTAGACTATAAACAATATTTAAACAAATATGATTTAATTTTGAGTAATTTATTAGTTATCTTCGTTTGAAAAAAAAAATGATTTCAGATCAGAGCTTGAAATTCTAGAATCCAGCAATTTATCATTTGCAGAAATTTCATTTCCCATATAATGGATATTGACTCTTTTAAACACTAATTTTCGGACCTTATCATTTTTTAATCCTATTTCTAGATTTCGAATGAATATTTCCAAAGGAGGACCATAAAATATTTATGGCTAGGGTGGATAGGTATTGATTGCAACATAAACCTAATAAAATATTTAACACAATTTTAAGATTAGAAAAAGTGTTAGGTTATTGTTTACTAAAATATTTAACTTTTTCACCAAGTCACTGAATCTGTAGTTTCGCCTTATTTTTATAAACACAAAGCTCAGAATAAGAAGGGTTGCAGTGTGCAAATACAGCAATTTGGAGTACAGCTTTCCCAACTCAACAAAGATGACAATACATATTTCTAAATGCAATAGATATCTTAGAACATTAAGTAATAAATAATTAACAATAATGCAGATTTAGTAGAAGTTTAAGTCATAACCCCACCAAATAATAATGTTGCTAATTTCAGTGATAGACTAACTAGATCTTCCAATATTAATTTTAATAAAAATGAAATCATTTTTAAAAAATCTATACCTTGCATACAAAATAATTTGATGAAATGCAGTGATAATATAACAGCTGAAAAACAAAGTAAACTGGATATTGAATTTGCACAAACCATCTTTATGTCAAATTGTCCATTTTCAATAACCCATTGTTTGTATTGGAAGACACTATTTCAATCATTTAGACCTGCTTTTAAAATACCTTCCAGATATTTACTAAGCAAAAACTTAGTCAGTGAATTTAAAAGAATAGAAAAATTAGACAAAAGCAAAAATTTGGCTCTCATTAGTGATGGGTGGACAAATATAGTAGGGGAGCATTATCAACTTTATTCTGACAACCCCTTGTTCCATTTTTTATAAATCGATTGACACAGGGAAAAACATGCATAGAGGGGAATACATTTATCAAAGTAATTGAAGAGATGGGAATTCAAAAATCAACACCATAATAACTGACAATGCAAGAAATATGGAAAAAGCATGGGCCCTTGTAAAAAAATATCTAACTATTGAATGCATTGGATATGCCGCTCATGGATTAAATCTTTTACGTTGTTGTGCCCTCGAGAATACTACACAATTTCTGAATACTTCCAGAATATATTTTTCAAATGCCAAATTATTACAATCGAAAAACAAAAAGAATTAAATTTTATAATCACAAAAAAAAGAATGAATTAATTACAATTTTGCTTCCCTTTTATAGGGAAGCGAATAATAATTTTTAAAAAAAATTAAAGATTAACAAGCTAAAAATACATTTTTACAAATTATAAATTCTCGTATCATAATTATAATTAAAAATTTATACTAAAAATTGTAATACAATGACTTAACTAAAAATAATTTTTACAAATCTAAAAATATACAGTTAATGCTGCGATTATATAAAAATCATTATGACTTTACTAAAAATATTCAACTATGACAAAATCCATTTCTAAAGGATATAACAAATAAGATATTATCGATTCAAATTTGAGTCACAAAAGCTAAAAATTTCAAATATGTAAAATCTAACAACATTCTTTTTATCAACCTTAAAAGAAAAACAACTCCTAATAAATAATAAGAAAATTGTTTCCCTAAAGTTGCCTAGCCTAACTCGTTGGGTAGATATAGTATTGATGATAAATAGCTTGTTAAAAAATAAAGATACTCTACAGGAAATGGAAATTCTTGATATATTTACTGATCGAGATAAGAGACTTACTCTTCTTGATAACGATGGGTTTTTAAATGATCTAATGAAAGTATACAATTTTTAAAAGTCTTATTTACACAAATAGAGTTAGTGGAAGGGAATAAAGCCAATTTATCTGATGTCCCATTTATTCATATCAGGGAGACATTTAACGATTATAAAAAATATCATGCAGAGCCAGATTTCAGAAATTGAGCAGTTTATTAAAAGCCAAGAAATATTTTGTTGCCGGGACATACATTATGCTGCTCATATATTTGACCCAATGTTTTGCGGATTTAATTTAAGAGGGAATGAAGTTGCAAGAGGGTTGGATATCATTAACCGATTTTCTGGATATCTAGATTTAGATATACGAGAGTAATGGGAGATCTATCTGTAAGGGAATTTTTTTTTAATATGGCAAGTCTTTCTCAAGGCGCATCATTTATAGATCCAGTGACTTTGTGGAAAGGTTAAATACTTTTATATTTTAGTAAACAATAACTTAACTCTTTTTCTAATCTTAAAATTGTGTTATTCAATATTTTATTAGGTTTATGTTGCAATCAATACATATCCACCCTAGCCATATGGATTCATTAGTGCCACCGACAAGTGCAGCGTCCAAATAAATATGGTACCCCTTTGGTAATATTCATTCGAAATCTAGAAATAGGATAATGATAAGGTCCGATAATATAAGAGTCAATCTCCATTTTATGAAAGAAAAAATTTCTGCAAATGACAAATTGCTGAATTTCAAGCTCTGATCTGGAATCATTTTCTTCTCTAATAAATTACTCAAAATTAAATCATATTTGTTTAAATATTGTTTATAGTCTAGATTTCAAATAAAACATGTAAAGAAATCACAAATTAGTTGAAATTAAATCATATTTGTTTAATTTATAATGTTTATAATCTATATTTTCAATGAAATAAAATTAATATTAGTATTATAAAAAAAGGTAGTTTCTCGTGTTTTCCACAAATTTTCCAGAATAATTTCCCAGGAAATTTACATCCCTGGTGATGACCCTAATATGCAAATCAATTTTTTCTTAAAAAATGTTTTTTAATAAAACTGAATAAATACTATACTATTCATTTTTATAATTATTAAATATTTTGTAAAATGATTAAAATTTGAAAGGAGGGCTCTCCGAAATTTGAGCTCAACAAGCCTCAATAGCCTACCCCCAGTTACGCCACTGCACTGATTATATGTTTTCATTTGTTTTTTTATATAAACAGTATATTTAAATTTTACAAATTTATAGATGCAAATGAATGGCACACCTTACCTTATCCTCTGTCACCTTTAATTAAAGATAGAATTGCCCACTCTTCAATAATAATTGACAAGTATACAATCTTTATTATTTTATAAGTACAATCATTTTCTTCAAAACTTTCTGATACTTAAATTAACAGAAATATACGTTAAGATTTTTCTGCCGATTCCGATACGATTTTTTTATAATACCCATAGCATCCATTCCGCCACTTTGTTAGAAATTCATCTTGCTTTATATTTAAATATTTTTTATGCTTGGGCTTAAATTTTTATTTAATGAACTAATTCATTTGTCCAAGCATTTTAAAGTAACGCAAATTTTAATTTTTAATGAAAATCTTTCTATATTCAAGCTGCATCTTTAGAATCAATTAATAGTACATAAAAAATTTTACCAATATCAATTTTAACGCTGATATAAGAATTTTATGTATATGTGATAAAAATAATACAATAATAATATAACATGGAACGAGGTTCAAAGTGTTATTTGTTTTTATATTCTAATTTACCCCTTGATTAATTTTTATAATTAAATTAATGTAAATTATGGTCAATCATCCATATTGTATCTTGAAATATGATAAAATATATTTGGAGTTTGATACTCAATTATAGAATAAAAACATGGACAAGTTTTCAACCACTACATTGATTTTTTTGGAGGTAGCAGTGTGGCTAGAGTATTAAAAAGACAGAACCGAGGCAGGTCATCTTATTTAAAATTGAATTTTGGCGAAATATTTAATTCATGATAATATTGGATTAATCTTCAAGTTTTACCGATAGTAGTAAAACAAAAGACCAGGTTTAAATGCAGATTCAATATTTTTAATAAATTATCATTTATCAATTGTAAATATTGTGATATTTTTTATGTATTAATAATAATTGAAATTGTATTGATCACATAGTATCATATTGATAAACCTCATATAATTTTTTCTATATATTATTTATTAATAAATCACGAAAAAGCTATTTTAGATACCTTTTGATAATTTTTTCTGAAAAAATAATGAGTCTTTTTGTCTCGGATCTAATTGGGATAAACTTATTTTACTTCTTATTTTTAAGATATTATATTTTATTATAGTATTTTTTTATTTTAATATTATAAAAATCTATTTTGTTATTTTATTTTTTATATTATATAAATATTGTTAATTTATTTTTTTCTAATCATCTTTAGTGATATTTAAATCTCTGATTCCTCACTATTTATTATTCCCCGCTATTTTCCATAGGCAGCCTTTCCTACTTTATAAATATTTGAGACCTGCAGTCCCGTCCCTAAGCTCGGGTACACTGGCTGTCCGTATTTTAATTTTTTAAATATACCCGGGTCGTGACTAAGAAAAATTTTTAAAAAATGCCTGTCTCAAGCCGGGCCCGTATATGCTATGAAAATTAAAATTAAATGTAATATATTTTAAAAAAATGCCGTGCCTGAAAAAAGCCCGGGCTAGGCCGAAAAAAATTTTGAGAGTTCTTTTTTTAAATGGATCATAAATATTAAATAAAAAATTGGCCCTTTAAATAAGATCATAATATTAAAAAAATAGAATTAATTTTTTTAAATTATAGTGTAGTAGACTCAAATAAAATCATATAATTTATGTTTGTCAATTTGTGAATATCAAATATATAAATTAATTAAGACTTGAAAGTTTGTGACATTGTCTAAAATTTATAGGATAAATATTCTATGCATACTGAAATACATTTTTGACAAAATCAGATTATTCGATTTTAAAAAACTTCCTCAATAAATGATTCATAACCTAGGTAGGGGGGGGGCAAAAATATTCCCCTTCGAAAATTTGTCTGTTCTCGTAAATATCACTTTTTGCTAATACAAATCCCCCCCTCCTCCCAATGTATACAAAATATCAATATGACAATAATTTGAAAGAAAAATGATCAAAGGTTAATAATTTTTAAAAATAATGAATTAAAAATTTTTAGAAAAAAAGGCTTTTTATATATAAAAAGGTGAAAAACCAAAACTATTATTTATAAAAAAGATCTCCATTAAAATTTGTAGGGAAAAAATAACCTAAAGTTCCCCCCTCTTCGTCAAGTCCTGGCTATGCATATGAAATGATTGTACTATTTACCATGAATCCCGGAAAAAAAACCCGAAATTTTTTTTTCGAATTTACTTAAGACTTAATAATATCGTATTATAATAAGGTATAGACAAATTAGTAGTATTGTAAACGAACGTGCTCATTTAGGACGCGTTCATGAATGAAGTTTTTTGAAAAAAATGATGAACGACGTTTCTTTTATTTTTGACGAACTTCGAACGTGAACGCGTTCCTTTTTTATGACGAACGCGTTCGAATTTAATGTTCGTTCATATTTAAAAATACTTTTTATTTTTATTTATTTTAAAAATTTAATATTAATCTGATTTTTTTAAGAAAAAGTCTTATATTTTATAGTCAACTATTTTTCTTTTTCACATTTAAATTTTTTTAACACGCCATTATAATAGTTTATTATGGATATTATTGTTTATATTTTAATTTTATAGATTAGCATAAGCATGGATATTATTATTTCATCTGATTCTGAAAATTCAAAATCAGATGAATTAACACCATGGCCCAAGTTTGATAAATATTTTACAGTAACATCCTATATTGTAGGAACTAATTCAATACTTACCAACCAAAAATTATATAAGTGTAGCAATTTAATACGACATTTGATTCTAATATTAATCATTTTATATAAATTATTTAACTAAGTAAAATCATTAAATTTGAAGAAAAGATGCATTTCGGCTACTTGACGCCAACAATAGCGATACTTAATTTAAAAAATTAATGGCCTATTTTCAACCATTGATAGACGAAGTATTAAATGGGATTAATAGAGGGTAATAAACCTATCGCTATCAAAAAAATTATACATATATTTTATTTTTTTTTAAAGATTTGAACATATATATGAAGATCAATAAGTTCTCTGCAATTATATATCCAATATTCAAGCTTCAATGGCCATGGATAAAACTTCCACAGAACGAACCTATAAACAATAAAATTATAGCGTTATTGAAAATATGCAGTGAAAACCCTAGAAATGATAATGCAAGAACTGCAAATTTCAAGATATCTTTTTGACGAGGAAGTAGAGGATGGATTGGAACGGCATTAGCTATACTAAAAACGCGCTCTACAGGGCAGATGAGGGGATTGCGGTATTATAGTTAAAGAACTCTTTTAACGTGGGGAAGAAGCAAAGGACAAAACAATAAATTTTTTTAATAAATTCCCCACGTCAAAGTGTTGTTTAACTATAATACCGCAATCCCCCTATCTGCCCTGTAGAGCGCGTTTTTAGTATAGCTAATGCCGTATTAACTGCCAATCCTTCCTGTCTATCAGATGAAAATTTTTAAAACAATTGTTAATAAAAATTAATAAGAAAAATTTTTATAAATAAAAATATCTTTTTATTCTCTTATTATATTGTATTTATAATATTATCAAAATAAAACTAAATTTTTTTTAACATGTCTAATGTATTGTGTTAAAAAATATAAGACATTTTATATTAAATTAAAATTTGGGGAAAAGATATATTTGGTAATAAAAATCAGATACTTGATTATGGTCAATTTAAAAAATGTAAAAATATATTACAATATAAAAGTATATCTTGTAATTCTCACTTAAGACGCCACAAATGCGTTAACTCGAATCACGATTTAACTATTCCTAAAATAATTTAGTATATTAAAAGGAAAATTATAAATATAAATAATTTCTTTAAAAAAAATATATACTATGATTTACTATTGTGCCAAAGACATGTGCACTTTTGACTCGATAACCAAGATGGTTTTAAGAAAATGGCTCAACATGCTCTATTTATGGTAATATTGACTGTAGAGAATTATTCCCCATTCAACTACTTAGCAAGAAATGCATATATGATAGATCAGAACAGATCTAGTGAATAAAATAAATAGTCAGTTATGTGATAAAACATGCTCTTCCACTACTGAGATGCAGACAGATTCCTTCAAAATTTTTCCTAATTACACGTTTCATTTCACTATATCGAATGAGAAGCTTTATATAAACATGTTTTATTTACTAGTAAATTTAAAGAAATTCCTTTAAAATTTTTTATCGAAGAAGAAGCTGTATATAAACATGTTTTATTTACTAGCAAAGTTAAAGAAATTCCTTCAAAATTTTTCCTAATTACCCGTTTATATTCATTATAATCTAAGTAGAAGCTTTATATAAACATTTTTACTACTAAATTTAACGAAATGAAAAAACCGCTGAGAACATACATAAAGAAATGCTACAAAATTTTATCGTAATTGGAATAATTCCCGATTAAGTGATTGACATAATATTTCTATATGCAAGGAGTTAATTTAATTAAAGCTTATTAAATTTAAGCGCACATTTGTTAAATACAGTTCTTCGAAATATACAACTTGGAAATTTTTGCTCTTAATATATTTGAAACCCTTATTTCTGCTAAAAAAATAATTATGTATTTTAAACAAAATGGCAACAGTAAGATATTGAAACAAGATGGAATTCGAAAATATATATATTGAAATCTATTTATAACCAATGATGTTATTGTCAATTTTTTATCATTTAAGTGGATATTAAAAATGAATAATTTCGGAAAAACTATTTTAAAAAAATTGATTTATATTTCAAATCCATTTGATAAAGCTACTAAAGAATTAGAAGAGATACTAATCCTACTGTATATCAATGCTTCATTAAATTCTTCACGAGGATTTAAATGATACTTTTTTATCAAAACAATGAAATAATACATATAAAAACCTATTTAAATTTTTTTTGATTATCTAAATTTTAAATTGATATTTGCATAAAATAGCAATTTTTTATGCCCCAAATATAGAAAATTAAGAATGTTATCATATATAGAAAGATTAGACATAGAGAATTCTATCAAAAATAAAATCAATTTTGAAGGATATTGTAAATCTTTATTGATATCATAGATTTGGATATACAAGCATTTATCAAATCATGGAATCTCCTAAAAAATTTAAAGGTACATTAATTTGCAAATTGTTAATATTGCTAACATATTTGTATATATCAGATAATGAATATGTGGGAGAACCATGAGGAGGATTATCAAAAAAAAAGAAAGAGATGAGCTCTAAATTTATATGAATTTGTATATAATAGAGAATACAGAAAATATAGATCCGGAAAAGAATTAAAATGGTGGAGTAAAAATGATATTATATTACCAAAGATGACGAAATTATATAGATCCGGAAAAGAATTAAAATGGTGGAGTAAAAATGATATTATATTACCAAAGATGACGAAACCTGCAACATCCACAATTTCAGAGCATACATTTTCAAAGACTGGAAGTCTATTAGAAGAAGAAATAGATTGAAACCAGAAAATGTTGATGCTTTAATATTTTTAAATGATAATTATAAATATGAAGCTAATTTTTAGTAGTGTAATTTAATATTATAATTATTATTTCTTTGGTTTATAGTTATTTTTGATAGTTGTATTTTATAAAAATAAATACTTAAAGTTTTTATTCAAAATTTTATATATAAAAAATTAAAAATAACCCAAAAGTTATGGTAAATACCTAAAAAAAATTAATTTCTATATTTGAATAAATTCGGGCCGGGCGGACAAATAATTTTTATTTCAGGTCGGGCTTTTTGGGACAAATAAAAAAATCAGTAGTTGGCTGGACCTGCAAAACATTTTTAAAAAAATTTCAGGTCAGGCTTAAGAAATTAGGCCCGATGCAAATCACTAGCTGTTATTAACCCAATAACCTGAAAAAAACATTTCTTCATACTGTCGTAATTATGTAATAATATCGTAGTTATGTAATAATCTAATATTTTATTTTAATCATGTCATTATCTGTTATTTCTCTCCTTTTATATAAAATGCATTTATTTATTTATTTTTAATGCATTTATTTAATTGAATACAATATACTATTTTATCTTTTTATTATGCCTTGAAGGTATTTTATTACATCCATCCTCTTCCTTTTTTTTGGGTTATCGATTTGGAATGGTATAAATTGTTTTCTTATTCGTATTGGATAACGGCTAATTGTACTTTCGTTCTCTAACACTGTTTGATCAGTCGTGTCGATGTCACTCTTATCATTTATGATGGCATTTTTGGTTATTGAGTCATGTATCGGATCTATATCTTTTGTCATCAAGTCTTGTATCGGCTCAATGTCTTTTTCTATAGAGTTTTGTATAGGATCATTTTCATTCATTCGAGGTGTTATTAGTATCGGTTCTCTTTCTCTTCCTTCCTTTCTATTTTTAATATCGGAATTGTTGAACCTATGTTTTAACTGATTAATATGTCTTCTCCATAACCCTCTAGTCTCAGCTAAAAACGTCATTGGACCTGTTCTTTTAACGATGATATCTGGTATCCAAACCTGGTAGCTTAGGTATGTATGGATGTGGATAAATTGGTTTTATTAATTGTAAAGGTCCTATGGGTTCGATTTGATTGAGACTATGAAAATAGCTGCATATATTGGAAACAAAGGAAATTAGGGCAAATGTAGATGATGAATTTCATAAATTATATGTCATTGTTAAGTCAAAAACAGCTATATGAATTTAATATTTGTCTCGGCTCAGCAAGGCAAGCTCATCTTTCCAGTATTAATATAGGCATCACTCTTGTATACCTTTATTACTCAAATGAATGAAAGATTCCTGATTCATTAGTTAGCACTTACAGATCTGCAAATATCAATATCACAATCCTTCTAACCTATTACAAATCTTAATAGAGGAAAAATAAAACATATGGAAATTTTTATTATGAGGATGTTAAAGTATTACCACCTAAATGCAAACTATGGTATAAAAGGTTAACTACCGATGATAATGTTCCAAATAATGTTATAGATGATTTGCATAGTTTCAAACATATTTTAAACTATTTATCTAATATATTTAATTTATTATATATTTTAGCAACTCCACTATTAGTATTTATACCATTGAAAAAACATTTTCTTCTTTAGGAAGAATAAAAACATACCATAGATTGAATAGATTAGCCCTTCTTTATATATGTACATAGGTAGTTTACACCAACGCTTTTGAAATCATTGAAAAATTAGTTCAATCCTTAAAGAAGATTGAATTTCACATAAATTTATAACATGTTTCTTATTTATATTTTTTTTCATGAATACTTTGTAAGTTTATATACATGCAATAATTCTTAAGAATATATTTGCACATCAATCGATATTTACAACATTTAATTTGTTAAAATATAATTAAAATTTATATATCAAATTTTAAATGCAAAATTTATATTTTTTTTTACAAAGTTCTTTTTTGAGACATTCATTTTATAGGTAATTACTAGTGCTAGTCCTCATAAATTTCTGAAACTCAAAATATTATCCCTCACCTCCCTCCATATAAATTCCGGTATTTGATAATGTATTCCTTGGTATGAATATTTTGAACAGTTCCTAAAATATATTAAATCTTTTAGCGCATTCTCTTTGAGTGTGATGATTTAGAAAATTAATATCCTCTTTAATTAACGATAATTCGTTATATTATTTTCTTTATTAATTTTGCTATTTGATATGAATAAGTTTAAAATGATTTTAATATTTTATAATATGAATGAATAAATGCAACTAAAAACAACAAATGCCCACTTATCTTACCCAAACAGACAAAAAATTAAAAATCTGCCCACTTTCCAAAGTAGATAGTTGCCCAATTTATCAATACATTTTCTAATAGTATTTAATAGGAATTTAATTGGGACTCAAAATTTTTGCCAAATTAGGGAGTAATCGAATTATCCACAACCCAAATTTGACTATTTAAACGTTAAAATTATATTACCTATAACAAATAGAAAATTACTTTCTAAATATATGGTAAATTCCACGATAAATCAACATGATTTTCAACATATAAAGTTTGCATTTAATATAACTAAGAAAGAAAAAAAAATTTGGCCTCAACTAACATCAACTTAGATACAAACCTCTAATGTCGAAAAATGGGGCATTTTGGACAAAATGCACTCCTTAAATTTTAGATATCTATGGATATAATTGAGCTAGAAGAGTCATATAAATTTCTTTATATAGCATAATGGTTAGCCTTTAAAGTAATATAATGTTAAATAATTAAAAAAATTTAAATATATAAAAACTAGAAATAATTATTAAATCAAATCGGCATTTATTTTTTCTCTCAATTTTTTTAAATTTATATCTATACATATACTTGTGAATTTTTTTTTACTCACAATCCAAATTCTGATTTTCTCCATTAATATTTTTACTTCGATATAATTAGACCCTTCTCAATATATTTTGTTTTGCCGAAAATACATCATAACTGAAAATAATTTTGGTATTTTCTTAAGTAGAATTTTAAAGGCTAAAAAATTATATATAAGTTGTGACTTTGGAGTTGGATTAAAAATTTATCTAGTAATTTGAGATTATTGAATCAAGATGACTCCCTTATTTGATTTTAAAAGACCATAACTCAGTTCGTATTTGAGCCAAAGCTTTAAAATTTTGATTTTTATAAAACATTCAATCTATCTAGCCTTCATACCAATTTTCATCCATTTTAAAAATGGTCGTAGAAATACTTAGTGATATTATGGAATTACTTATTAGATAGACATATCAATATTATCAGAATATGAATAATTATGTTTATAATTAATGATGAATCAAGTTTATAAGGCTTCAAGTTAGTCCTTTTTTCTTCAAAAGTTTGATTTAATGGCGGGGGAGCGTGACCGCAATTAAATGAATGATATAATATGTTTCATACTCACGAGCATATCTTTAATGGATCATAAATATTGAAACGAGCATATCTTTAATGGATCATAAATATTGAAAAAATAAGATAAAATAAAATGATTATAATTCCGGCCGCAGGTCGGGGAAAAGCGGGCCGCCCGTAAAGGGTGCTTGAGGAAGGAGACGTCCTCCAACTATGGGTCCTCTTATAGTAATATCTCACGGGGCCTTTATCCTCTCAAATCGCCCTTGCTACCATAGAACTTACTCATTATAATGTATAAAGATCGAGATATTAATTATTTATTCTTCATAAAGTAATTATTTTGCTATAAATTAAAACAAAAATATATTACTTTGTAAATTATATAAATAAGGATTTTTTTTAAGCTTTATCCATACTGAATAAATCTATAAATAAATGATATTCCTATATATTAGTTTCTAAATAATATTGGTTTTAAAAATCTGATTTTATAATGGATTGTATTGGTATTGGAAATCAGGAAAATATTGATATTATTAGCAGCTCAAGCTAGTGGTAATTCATAGTATGAAAAAAGGAAATACTGCTCAAATAATAGATAAGGATATTAGGTGAGATCAAATTGCCAATTGGACTAGTTTCAAAGAAAAATGGCAAATGCAAGATGCTAGCAAAAATATTAAGACGATAGATGACTACTAAGTGTGAAGTGGCGTCTCTATGCTAACATTGTCTCATAATTGTTATTTAAAAATTTTCATTATATTGATTATAGATAAAATATAGTTTTTGTATAATAAATACTTTTTGAAGTTTAATTGTCAAGTATGGTTTGAAATATACGAATAGAAAATTTTTTTTTGAAATTATTTTCTAAAAAACTTTTTTATTAATTTTTTATTGGCTGACCATATATGGTTGTTAGGTTTAATTTAATTCTTGCCCCCCCCCTTTAATATGCATATACCTCAATTTCGGACGCTAAATCATGTGGATATTGATAAAATATAAGATATATATGGAGATAATTAGTACCGACTTATTTCCAAGATAAGGGAAAACTTTTTAGATTATCAGTGAAAATTCTTAGAGAATAAATATACAATCCTGGGAAATCCTTAACAAGTTGCATTCTTTCTTTCTGTTTACATTCATTTTTAATTTAACCTTTTTATAAACATATATTTTTTCAACAATTAAAATGTTATATCAAAAATATAAAATAAAGCAAATGGTATATACATGGAGGTTTCAATGGAATTATTCTGAACGATACACTAATTATCAATTTTAAACAACATCTCCTCAAGTGCTATCGCCATATATCAGAATTTATGTTCATGCTAACACTTAAATACAAAACATTCTATACTAATGGGTCTTATGTTAATGCATCATTGATTTCAAAGTTTTTACAGTATCCTAATTTCAATGAAACTAATTTTATGGACAAAAATAAAAGCATAACGCATTCTTTTATAAAGAATATAAGATATATGTTTAAGGAATTTTTAGCTCAAAATACAGACTCAGACCTAGGGACACAAACCACAAAAGATGGGAACTACGAGTATTCGGATATCTTGATACCGGTTTGTTTGTTAAGACTTTTAAACCAAGATTCATTGGCGAAAGCTCGAAGTCCTTTCGATCATGATTGCGAAATATCGACTCAACCCTTTCATGCTCACCCCCAAAACCAATCTCGCAGCCCTAAGATTCACAAAGTTCCTGACTATTATAGCAATTTTTTGCGCATGGCAGCCTTATCTCTTCCCTTGTCTTTAAACACGCCATTTAAAAACTATCCTGCTTCTTCGTTATCTCTTTTTGATGCCCTATTTAAACTTCATCCAGTCATAGTTAAATATTTTTATGTTATATAAAATTATTTAATATTATATCGCCTATAAAGATTCCAATCATTATCGATTTATAGGACTGATCTCACCTTTAAAAAGAGAAATTTTTTATTATTTTTTTGCATTGCTATATAGTAACTTCGATGAACGTCTTTTTTTTTGAAAATTAACTTTTTGAGTAATGTTTTGCGTTCCATTACTTTCATAATTTAAAAAAAATAAAAATAATTATAGTAATGCAATTTTTATTTTATATTTTTTAAATTTCCTATATAAATAAAAAGTTTACTGTCTTGTAAAATCATATTTCTACACCCTAGCCTGTCCTGGGCTTACTGGTAAAAACTTAGATACTGGCTCTGCCTTTGGACTAATATTATATATAAGAAATAGAATCAAACATATATTTTGATATTTATAAAAAATAAATTGTAGAAATAGGATGAGTCATAATCGATTATCCAATAAACAAATTATTAAAAAAATAACCTTATTGTAATATTTTCATATTTCCTCCTTTAAAAATCGTCACTTGAGAATTAAATTTTTCATCTCCACTTTTTATAATTTTACAGTAGAGCCATTTTAAAGATTAAGCTTCAATTGTTTTCAGCATGATGGTTAACCTTAACTCTAATTTAATTTATTAAGAATTTCGGGTTTTTTAGGTAGATAAATATAATTAGAAAAAATTGATTTATATTAAAAAGTAATTTTTCACATAAAGTGGAAATAACCTAATTCTCATGCAACAAAAGATTAAATAAACATTCATTTATACATAAAAGAAATTTAGAACCTACCAGACATATCCTTAAACGATTTTAACACGAATCGTTTCAGTGTTATGGAAACTGATGAGAAGTCTAAGACAGATTAAATAATTTAAATAGAACATCATATATCGAGGATAGATCTAATAAAAATTACCACCTTCTAACCGAGTGGACAACACGTTAAATTTTATAATGTTGCTAGAATTTTCTGAATTTTCGAAATGCCTATATGGACCTCATAGTTATTTCAAACTGCCTTTACATTAAGAAGACTGTTAGACACCCATCGTACATCAAGTATCTTTCCCACATTCAACAACTGAATTCCCAATTCAGGAGTTATTTGATCCAGCACCTTTTGATTTTTGTTAGACTGGCTACATAAACTATATTATATGTTAAAAAAGGTTTCAAAGTGATTAACTCCTTTAACACTTTTTATTATATCTTCTAAACGGATATTTATACAATGTCAAGGTATGATCATTTTATGTAGTACGCAAAGGCACTTTGCTTCACCAGATTTCTATCGCTACCAATTTTTTTTAGAAAACTCAGCGAATTTAAGAGAATCCAGTAAGGTATGAACTATCACCTCTGCATCCTTTCCAGTTCAATTAGGTCTAGAAATTAAAAAAATAGGATCATCAAAGAGAACAATTACCCATATCTAAATCATTATACCCTTTAATTAACAATTCAAAATCCACAAATTGGCAGTTTGATTTTGCAAGACAATATTATTTTGGTATGTTTATCATACCTAACCATTTTAATGCATGCTCTGGTTAAAATAATTTGTAATATTTGTCATTTTTATTTAAACACGTATACGTAGACTTGTGTGGCGCCGGACAAATACACCGCCGACGTATCCACCAAATGTCGGCGCTCAACACGCCGCCGCCGATGTTACATATTTTTTATTATTAAAAATAATATTTATTATATATGTTATTTATGAATTGTTAGAAGAAAAATAATATTAAATATTTAAAATTATTAGAAAATCTATTTTATTTTTTAAAATTAATAAATATTATTTGCTATATAAACATTTGATTTGTAACAAGATGATATATTATGGAATAGATTTTCTAAAGGTTATTTGCTATATAAACATTTGATTTGTAACAAGATGATATATTATGGAATAGATTTTCTAAAGGTTATTTGTAAAATAATTATAATTTTTATAGTGAAATCTTAATTTTTATTTTACTGTAAAAATATCTAATTATTTTATAATAGAATATTTAAATAGAACTGATCTCTTCCTACATTTAGAATTTTTTAAGGCATCATGTTTTTATTATTAACATTTTATTATGTAAAAATATGGTATTATTTCAGATGTAAAAGATCCAGATATAATAACACTTAGCCCGAGTGGATTAGATGATGTGTATTTATCAAAAGCATACATATGTTAACAAATTAATATAGGTCCAAAATTTTGCGCTTGATATGTGGATCGACAAATATAGATGGCGAAATTATATTACCTTTATTTTTCACGAAATAGATAATAATTTTAATATTGTAATTTCATTGGCGACACATCATATCACTCAAAAATATACCGCTGAAACTACTGAGATAGAAAAATGAATTTGATTAGGGTCCAAGGAGAATCAAATATACGGATGCAAGACCCAATGTAAAGAAATGTGTTCGTCTAGGAGAATATGACCATCATTTGTGATTGGGGCATGGATTATATAATCTAGTGACAGCCGATGTAAAAAAAAGTTAATAAAATAGAAAATCTCATTGAAAGTGAGAGATTATTGCCTTAAAATTCAAAACAACGGATTTTGAAAATATAAACGATATTGAAAATATGTTTTGAATCGAAGATTTGGATAATAAGTTTTGGGTTTGATGATGATAGTGCTAATCAAAAATCATATGAGAAAAAACATAAAACCTTAAAATTAAATGTGCCTACACGTTGACATAGTATTTTAATTATGCCGGAAAGTGTGAGTGGCAATAACAAAATTCCTATAAATATTCTATTATATAGAATGTAGAAACCGGATCTCATATTATTTAACTCCAATTAGGACTTGCATGAACTTTTAAATTTTCTTAAAGCCTTCAAAAAAATTGTTGAATTTTTATCCGCCATTTACTATAAATTTATCCTTATTATTTTGTAGTAAAAAATCATTTAATAGTAAAAGAATATGATATCCCATATCATTCTTTAAACAAAATAGGCTTTGATCATAGATTTCCAATATCCGATCTTCAGGTAATATTTTAAAATACATAAATTAGTTTTTTTAATATTATTTCTCTTTGTTTTATTTTTTTACTTAGGTGTTAGGAGCACTTTCGGATCCTCGTTTTCAATCTATAAACATAGTAAATTAATATTTAAAGGAAAAAATATTGCTCCGGTGCAATTTTTATGTCAACACGCCACCTCTTTGTTGCCTTACACGAACGAATTAACTTAATGTGAAACGACGGAACTTCAGAATTCGATTATCTAAGTCATTGATATAACAATAATCTGGAACAACAAGACCATAACTAGTCTAGAAAAAGAGTATTATTCATTATTTTGGCCTTATAATTGAGATTAAAGATGTCTTAGATTTTTGGAAGATAAGAGCATTAGATCCTTCTAAACTTTCAATATTAGCTAGAAAGATCCTGTACGTTCCAGTTACGAGCACACCCTGCGAGCGCGTATCTTCCATAGCTGGGCTCACTATGAACTCTAAAAAATCATCTTATGCTCTATAAATCTAAATAAAATAATATTTATACATGATAATTATACTTAATAAAATCATTTAATTATAAAAATTTTATTTTAAAAGTGTTTCCAAATAATTTATAATTTTAATTAAAAAAAATTAAGTTAAAAAATTATTCCGATCGTTTTAAAAAAAGTAATACCGCCACCGATAGAGCTGTCGGCGCACAGGTCTACGTATACGGCTAGTCACAATTGATATTATTCCAATATTTTTATATGATATACTTTTTTAAGAACCAATTAAAATAGGAAAGGTTTATTTTTGGATTATTACAATTATATTAATATACTACCATTATAAAATATTTATAATGTTCATTTCTTGAAAAAGTATCAATAATATGCTAAAATGTGCTCTTTATTGTTTTTTTAAGTTTAAGCTGGATCACAATAAAGATTTTAGAACCCTACCCCTCCCCCCTCTCAACTATATCCCTACACTGCAATTTTTACATAGATAAATTAAATTGAGAATTAATCTCTTAGTGTAAATAAACATGGTTGTTTGATAATATTAAACTAAGCCATTAGAGTTCTAATACATATCTATGCTACCCATAAATGTAATACCTAATGTGAATATTTGTTATTATGGGAATATCTTTAGCCCCCCTCCCATCATAGTGAAGTTTTACTATATTTTATTTTGAAATTAACGTATAATGCATTTTTTAAAAAATAATAATTGATTTACGAAATAATTTTTACAGCAGAGGCTGAAAATGGAAAATTTTTTAGCCCTGGCCCGGTGGGAATTCAGTTAATACTTCGTTCGGCTCTTCAAATTTAGGCCCGTAACATTTTTTTAATTAGGTTACCCTGCCGGGTTTTTATTATTTTTAAATACTAGGCCTAAACAAAAATTATGTTGTTGTACACCAAAATAATCAGCTATTTATAATCTTGGGGGCCCGTTTATTTTTTTACCCGCCCGTCCCAAAAAAATTTTAAAAGTTACCAGCCCTGCTTACGTGCCAGGCATTGCAGTGTCTGGTTTATAGTACTGCCTTTTTAAAATGTAAAGCTAGATAACCACATTTAAGAAACAAAAAAAACGATTATGGAGATAAATATGATGATAACTATATTACGAAGTTTTAGTTATCAACCAACATGTGTTATTTAAGGGGAATAAAATTCGACATAATATTATATATGTTTTATTCCGATTCAAGCGAAATTTTAATTTTTTATATTTTAAGGAATCGGGCGCGAACGACTCAATAAACTTAAAAACATATCAAAATACGGATTTGCATGAATCTCTTGATTTAAGCATGGAGAGTCCTTGTAGAAATATAGATGATTGTATCAACTGCTTATCCACACTATGGGATTGCACGTGGTGCATCAACGATATTGGATGTATACCCCAATCGTTATTGAAAGGTGGCATATGCCCCTCAACAGTTCCAACGAATCGCTATAAAAATGTCGATGATTTTGGGAATGGGATTAACTTAGGATTCCTTTATTTTCGTACTTCCTTGTCTCAACACGCTATACGGTATTACAATGAATCCGTTAAGTCGAATGTTTTATTATTCATATATACTTAAATTTCATTGATAAATATTAGATAATTGCCACCCAAAACGTTATGCAATGTCCAATATTGACCAGCAAAATTTGTGAAATGCATTCCAATTGTTATTCCTGCAACAAAAACCCGATCTGCTTGTGGACTTTTTATGTTCACTACCGATGTATATCCTTGCTTATCTTCAAAAGTACTTTATTTATAAAATCCTTGATTTTTTGTTTACTTTTGCTATTTGAATATCTAATGTAGTATTGTAATAACGTATATATATATATATCGTTGTTAGCATCAAAGTGGTTATTTTTCAACTTTAAATCTTTTTAGCACTTTTTTTTAATTTAAAATTTTGATTTTACCGGAAATGTATTCCAGCATGTTTAGAATACCTATTTTATGAATTGTAGATAATTTTGCCAAATCTTGAGTCATTTTATATAAAAAATATATGAAAAATCTAATGTAAATTATATTAAGTTCAAAAGTTTATTTCAAAATTGTCTGAGATTCGTAGGGTAGGTATTCCAAACATGGCGGCATATATTTCCGGTAAAATCATATTTTTAAATTTCTAAAAATGTGATCAAAAAATTTTATAGCCAGAAAAAACACAGTGACGCTAACATATATATATATCGCATTGGGTTATGGAATCCTTGGGGATTAGGTCTCGATTGGAAATATATTCTCGCATGTGTAGAGTATACCCTATAAATTTTAGCCAATTTCCGCCATAGACATTTTAGTATTTTTTAATTTATATGAAAAATCTATATAAATTAAGAGTAGTTCTAGAGTTCGTGTCAAAATTGTTTGAAATGTACTATTTGGGTGCTCTATATATATACTGAAGTACAATTACTGTCAAATCAGATTTTTAAAATTTAAAAATTGCACTTAGTCATTGATTCAAAATCGAGAGATTCCAAATCATTATGGATTCAATATTCCAATACATCATATATAATTATAATAATCTTAAACTAAAAAAAGGATCTAAGGCTGTAACTTGCTTTTGAAATGGGGATAACGGGTTTATTATCATACCACTTACATACATTATTATTTATGTCTAATTTAAAATCTACTTTTACCCTTCCTCTTTTTTTCAAATTTTTGTCATTTTCCAGACGATATCCTGCCAAACGATTTGATATTAATGTTCCCGATATAATATAATCATGATCTGTCAAGGAAGCTCTTATTTGATATGATGAAAAAAATTCTCCTTATAAATCTTGAGATTTATGAGGGTGTAGCCATATCCAATAGTTTTACAGCTATATAACCGCCTATAACCATAGAAGTTTTTATTGTGTTTGTTGATTTTCCTAGATATATTTCGAAGATGTAAAATTCCCTTGAAACCACTTAACGCAAAAATTTTTATCCCCGACATGTGTGGCTTTGAACGTATATTTGTTTTACTTCATAACGACCCTTGAAGGAACCATCATTTCATCAATTGATAATTTTTCTTCCAATTCAATCTTTCTAAAGTTTGCCTTCAGTGTTTCTGTAAATGGCCTTATTTTAAAAATTTTGTCATAATTGGGGTTGCCTCTGTGATATTATTATTATCATTTATATGAAAATATTTTCTTAATTCTTTTGTATTTGTAGATTTGATTAATTTTTGACAGGAATATATATGCTTGTTTTACCAAGGCTGAAAATTGATAATAAATTGCGGCGCTTGGAAAGTTCGAGATTGCAAAATTTTTATTGAGCGCGTTGAGTTTATTAAATTGATAACAGACTCATAAATTCGTCTTAAGAATGAATGAGCGCAGCCTTGAATTCAGTCTACTTTATGAAAATTTCAGTTTACTTGTACATTTAATAGAAATTCGAAATATTTTAGTATAAAAAGTGAAAACATTCTATTGATAGGTTAGCAACAAAATTTTAACCATAATCCGTATTTCTTATACTACCATCTATTTATGCAAAAATTTCAATTTATGGTAAAAATGCATATTTTGGTCGAGCCAATAGCATTGCTCAGGTTTTCACATCGTATATATATTTATAAAAAGTGTCTAAATAAAAGGCAAAAATTTTTTGCGAAAACCTGCACCCATTATTGCATAGAAACACAGGTAGAGCAATATAGGTAAATGAAAGTTTTAAGACACAAATTGGTGCCAATGTTTTTCTCTTACGATAGACCTTTAGAGTTTTTTAGTTATAAGAAAAATTTTACAGATTCGAACATCACTATTTTTCCCACCTTTGAGACCCTGCATTGGGGAACTAGGTGTGCTAGCTAGCCGAAATAAATAACTTTCTCATTTTTTTTTACCTAATAAATTCCAGAAATTTTAACAATTTTAAAAGGAGTCGCTCGAATCGTGATCTATTTTACATGGATGGCCCTTAAATAGTTTTGAGATAAGCAATTTAAAAATTTTACAGATGTGAAAATCGTGTTTTTTTTACCTTTGAGGCTCTATACCTTTGAAATCAGGTACTCTAGCAAGCTATTATCAGTGGCTATCTTCATTTTTTTTACCGATTTAAATAATTCCAGAAATTTTTATCAATTTTAAAAGGGGCTGGCAGAAACTGGATCTTTTATGATCGATTTGACATAATGACTACATACAAATAATAAAAGTCTGTTTAAATTCTGGGGATCATAAAATTAAATCTTGAAAATTTTCGTATTTTGTTTATAATTTCTTAAGGTTCTTTTTATTCAATCCTCCAACATGTGTTTTAACATTTTGGTTTAATTTTACAACTTTTGCCTAAATTTGAAGAGCGCTTCTTCATGTTATGAACGGATATCATTGCGGCTAGTCCTTAATATTTGATGGGTGAGTATGAACAGTTTAGAGCATCGGGTCTTGATTATGTAGTGTTGATAATATTGTAGCTCATTTAAACGGCCATATTATCTTGCTTAAAATCTTCTTATGGATATACGAGTAGCCTTTAAATAGGATTTTTCAGGATGTATTAGATTCATTATAATATATTTACTTTTAATAATTTATAGATTGACTTAAATATTAAATAATAAACATTTTTTTTTATCTTTATATACCTTATAATGGTGAGTATAAATCCATTATAAAAAATATTTGCACCTTGTTTCATGCAAAAACATTAAAATGTAAATTTTATTTTATAAAATAAATCATATTATTTTTCAAAATTTAAGTCCAGCCCGATTTTTTAAAAAAAATATTAGGTCCGGCCCAGCCCATACAATTTTTTTTAAATAGGCCCGCCAGTATTGCAGATTCTTAGTTTATTGATCAAATGAGATAATGAGCAACAAATATAATATCAAATTATTTAAAAAAAAGGCAATACTTAAAAAATATTTTGTTTGGGCTGGATCAGACCTAAAATAATATTTATTTTTATTTAAGTTTCTTGATCTAAAAATTAAAGATATGCAATATTTAAAAAATATTTTGTTTGGGCTGGGTCAGGCCTGATAATAATTTGAAAAAAATGTTATTATTTTATAAACTAAAATTGATATATTTTAAAGTTATTGTAAAACTAACGAGACACCTGATATTATCAAACATTTATAGAAATTTAGATATTAAATCAGGCAAATATTGCTTATTATAATTAATTAATATGTTTTGTAATTTCAAATTATTGAAATATTTGTTAGCCACCTTATATAATTCATCGTCGATTATAAACACTCAACTTTCATCAAATCCACCTTCATATACCAACCAGACAGCGTCTGATCAAAGTTCAAACGGATCATATTTTACCGAAAATAAAAAGATTCTTCTTAGGTTTAAAAATATTAATATCATTTAAGAGCTTTTTTAAAGAATTTAAGTTATATTTTATCAAAAATTATGATTTTACTATGCATATCAATTTTTTTATTTTACTATTTTTTATAGAAAAACAATAGCATCACTAAAATCTAACATCCTTTCCCCTTTTATATTTCTCATGCCTTAACCATGTACTCCTTCATTGCCCTCACTACTCGCTCCCACATGTCCATTCAGATCACCAGCCAGGATAATGCCCTCTTCATTTGCCAGTCTCAATGTCACACCCAATATACTGTCCCAAAATATATCTTTCTCTTCTTCACTTCTTCCAACCTGAAGAACATAGCTGAGATAATATTATATAGCTTTCTACCAAAAATCATCTTGATAACCATTATCTGGTTATTTAGCCTTCTCACTTCGACTACTTTGTCCACCAATTTCTCTGCAACCAATACCCCAACTCCAGCCTTACCATCATTGCTTCCTTGCCAGAAAAATTTATACTTTTCACTGGTATTGCCATTCTTTCTTGCGCCATTACCTTTCTATCTTGTCTCTTGTATGCAGCACACATCTATATGACTTCTATGCAATACATCGACCAATTCTCCCGCTCTTCCCATCTACTCCCAACATTCCATGTTGCGACCCTTATTCGATCCCTCATAAACTGGTTTCTCCACTTATTATCAGGTCGTTTATGGCCGTCATAAGTTTCATTTTCAGTTCCATCAGGTTTCCCATCCTTTTTGTCGTAGGCATATGAGGAGGCCTACGGGGTATTTTTGGCTGTACCCCGCCCATGCTTTGTTGCAGTGTTGTTAAACGCTACTTTTAGAAGTAGCGCGCTATCGCTACCACTATTTTATAAAAAAAGTAGCGCGCTATCGCTACCGCTATCGTTTTCAAATGAGTAGCGCGCTATTAGCTACTTTAAAAAAAAAGTAGCTAAAGCTACTTTGATTTTTTTTTAAAATATTTTTTTTTACGTAACTTTATTTCCACAAATAAAATATTGATATAAAAACATGACTATAATTTGTTACATATATATATATAATTTATTTATTATTGCACTTTAATAATAATAACATTTTGGTACTGTCATCCCCAAGTCTAGAGCGACGTTTAAAAGTATAAGCTTTGCCATACTAAATAATCGTTCAGCACTAGCACTTGAGGGCAACACAGTATTAAATTTAATAAACAAACTTTTTATATGAAAAAAATCATCAAAAATATTTAAATTAGTATTTTTAGATTTAAAAAAAGCATCTAGAGGTTAATTAAAAATACTTCAGTATATTCTTTAATAAAAGTATGCTCCTCCACATTAAATACTGTATTCCCATTTGATCCAATATATAATTCATTTCCATTTTTTTCTCATCTAGAAACAATGCTAAAAGTTTCATAGCATTGTAAACACTATTCCATCTTGTAGTCTTTGGTGTCAATAAATAACGTCCTAATTTTTTTTTGAAAATATCAGACGTCTTTGATGACTTATTTTGTTTATTCCAAAGAGCTTGGCATTTAGAAAATGTAGATCTTGATACTCTTTTAAAATCCTCATTTAATAATGCTTCTTCAGCATCCACTGTCGCAACTAAATTTAGGTTGTGGCAGGAACAACGATGATGGCTAGGTAACATAGAAGACTTTATTGAAGATCCTAAATATTATAAATTTTATTTTATATTGGTGAAAAATTAAATATAAAATAATTTAAAACCAAGGATGTCATGAACATCAATTATCTCAAACTCCATTTCATCATCCTCTTCTTGTTTTCCATCTTCAATATTTTTGTCAGGAATATTACTAGTATTGTTATTATTATTATCTTCCCCAAATATTCTATATTATTTATATCATATTATAAAAAAATTATAATAAATTTAAAACCTGAAGGCCTTCAGGAAATTAGACTCATTATCCGTAATCATCTTACAAACCTTGTTTTGAATTTTGTAAGACCTATGGATTTCTGCAATAATATTGGCTAGAATGTCATAAGTCTGACAGCCAATTATTCTCTTTAGAGCTAACGCTACAGATTTTCGTTTAAGATTTTTAGGATCAATCCAATGTGCAGTTACTCCTAAATAAGCTCTAAAAATATGACATATTATAAATCAGAAAATAAACATTTTTACCTTCTATTGTGAGTCCAGCAATCTGCCGTTGTACAGACGTAGGAGACATCTGATAGATTTAATATCAAAGATTCTTTCATTTCCTTAAAGCTCTCCAAAATTCTTGCCATCAATGTCTGCCGGCAAAATATCTTGGTCCGTGGAGAAAAAGTGTTTATCATCTTTATAAAAGAATCATTTTCCACCAAGGATAATAGTTGAACTGTATCTATTATAAAGTTCATAATGACTTTGTCAGCCAATTTTTGGGATACACCAGGTGTTGATGAATCCAAATTGGTTAATTTTGTTTGTATTAAATTTGATTTGGAAGTGGGTTTATCTTCTTCCATTACCCCAAAACTTTTGAGATATTTTTCAATCTCTTTATAATTTGAAGTGTGCACAGTCTAAAATTATAAAATACTTAGAATTTAAAATGTTTTAAATAATTTAGATAAAATTTATGAATATATACAAAAAATGATTGGTTTTTGATTTTAATTTATTTTAAAAATTAAAGATTAGCCTACACTTGTTATTAAATTTGTTTAATATATTACCTTATAAATGTTTTTTCAAATTAAAGCTGCTCGTATGATTTGAAGAGATAATTTTGCGGCACATCTTGCACCGAAACCGATATCCAGTATTAATTTTTTCTTCAAGGTTAAAGTATTTCTTGAATTTTGGGAAACGATCATCTATATTGCTCATTTTCCAAAGAAATTTCAATATCTTCAACAATCTCACACTAGTGTTGTTAAACGGCTCGTTTAGAGCCGATTCTTAAAAACGGCTAACTCAATATTTTAGCCAGAAAAATATTCCCTAAGCCTCGATATTTCACTAATAGATGTCCTAACCTTTATTCCTTCTACAAACAAAATCTTCAGGCTTGCGTAATACTATTCTGGATGAAATATTGAGTTAGCCGTTTTTAAAAATCGGCTCAAAACGAGCCGTTTAACAACACTATCTCACACATAATAAGATTTATAATGCTTAATATAAAATGTAAAATGAAATATAAAATAAGATAAAAGCAAGGACATATCAATAACGGAATTTCAAAAATATATAATTTAATGAATGCGCGAAATATAAATTAAATACAGATTGCTATTTAACAACTGTTTATATCTAATATATAACAATAATGTATATTTTTAAATATAAATATAAATTTCAAAATTAAATTAAATAAAAGGATTATAATTTTAGATTTTATAAAAAATATATTTTAATAATTTTTAGATGTATTTATTATGTAAAATCTACTTTCTAAATTAGTAGCGAGCTACCGCTATCGCTATTTTTTTAAAAAAGTAGCCTCCTACAGCTACCGCTACTGAAAAAGTAGCGCGCTATTTTAACAACACTGCTTTGTTGTAATCATTAGGAAATTTTATAGCAAGGTTTTTACAATCATATGCCCTTCCTGACATCACCTTTAATTGGTTTTTACACCCCGTCGAGGAGACGGTGATCCTATTCTAGACCCAGATCACAAGAATTTTTTAGACCTCCATTAGTCGCCAAAAGGCGTTGTCGCTCACCCGCCACGATGAGTCTGAAGGTAGGATTTTGGGAGAGTTTGAAATTAATAATAAATTGAGGTATTTTTTTATCAGCCTTTAGATGTCTTTTTGCCAATGAAAATTTTTTTAATTGAATGACTGATATTTTAAAATAAATCATGAACATGCTGAAAGTAATTTAAATCATATGTAGATAAATATTTACAGTCCTTTCGATTCAGAAATTAAGCTTTTACTTGGAAATATACCATTGAAAAGATTCATAATAAGATTAAAAATGGAGTAATATAGGATTTCTTTAAAAAGCAGTGTGCAGTAATGGATTGTTTTGAAAGCTAAGAACTAAATGCGCGATTTGTCGAGAAACAAAAAAATAAACTGCCAAAAAATCATATTAAATAAATATGAAACAATTGTAGGGTTTCGACAATATATCGATCTAAAAAAAATGTAATAAATTCCTTTACTGTCGAGTGTGATAAGGTTTTTATCTTATGACATGGTAGATAATCGAGTAAATAATTTGAGAAATTTAATCTTTATATATATTAATGAACCTTCGATATCCGAGAATTCCAGATCCATATCAAAATATGGAAAAGGAATCATAGCGGGGAATCTTTTTAAAATATTCAGACCAATGAAACAAAATATTTATGGAGAAGAAAATTTTTTAATTCAATATTTATATATTTTTTAATTTACATAATATCGATTATATTAAATTTGTGTCATTATTTATAAAATATAATGCAAATAAAGAATTTATTCTTATAATAAAAAATATTCAATTTTATTTATATCATATTTTTTGATATTGATTTTAAAAATATAGCCCTCCTTGCCAAATTTTTAAGCATTACACCACTGTCAAGATGATATAATAATTTATACATAATACAATAATAAAATAAAGATTATTTATCATTTTTTTCATATAATATAATATATTTTGATTTCACCATTTGTTCTTGCATTGGAGAAAGCAAGGAAATTTTAATAATAAAATGATCTAGTACCACTAGAAAATAATATTTATTTAAAATAAGACGCAAAATTTCATAAGAATGCCAAAAAAAATATATATTAAAATATTTGAAATGGGTTCTATTTAAAAAAAAAATAGGCCGCTAATCCATTTTAAAAATTGGTGCTAATTTGAAAAGGAGGTGCTTTCGCACCCAAAGCTCAACAACGCCCCTGATTAGTTGGATTTATTATATTGTAATTGTATTAGCTTTTTCAATTTTATAGTTTATGTAATTGTTGTCTAAAATTATATATTAGGCCCGCACTGGGTTTTTTTAAATTTTTACTACTCGGCCTATATATCCGGACTGGGCCTGCAGGTTTTTTATTTTTAATATTATATATCTAATTTTAATTCAAAGATCATGTAACGCCCCGTGTAATCATTATAGAGACTGTTGGAATTGCACGAAGCAAAAATGTCTTTGGTGTTCCACTTTTAGTAAATGCATAGATCCATATGTATATAGTTTACTTTATCCTTTTGGCCAATGTTTCTTTTGGATTTCCTTACCGTATAAATGTCCATTTCTGTTTACAGATCCAATGCAACAATCATCTTCTATTGATGGTAAAAATTAAAATCTTTCTTATTACTTAATAATTGGCATAAAATTTTCTACTTATCATTCATTTTATATTACCTTTAACTGAAATATTATTGAGGCAGCCCTCAACTCAAATGATAACGAAATGAATCCCAAAACTAATTACAAGTACGAGAATTCAATGTTCTATGATATCAATGATTTATATCGTAACATTAATTCAAATAATAACAATTGCCTATTTTACAAATCGTGTGTGGATTGTCAAAATGACCCTGCTTGTGGATGGTGCAATGACATTAGTAATACAGGGAAAGGTTAAACAATTATAATAATTAAGAATATTTTACTATATTATTGATTCAATAATTTATTGGTAATTTTGTATTAATTAATTACAAAAATTATTCGGGCACTTTTTTAATTAAAATGACCAGTATTTTTAATTACTTTTCGAAGTGTTTAATATAAATGGGCAATAAAAAAATAATTTAATATATATTTTCATTTTTTGGCAAATTTTATATATTTTTTTATATTAAATATTTTATTCAGTTTAAAAGTCCCATTAAAAAATTATATAAAAGGTACGACATATAAACTAAATATATATAGATTACATTTAACTGACACACTTCTAATCCGATTTTTTGTCAAATATAAAAGCACTTCACAGCTATCCCCGTGTTGTGGGAAATTTTTCTACCTAGTATTTTTTATTTTAAGATGACATTCCCAAAATTACCCAGAGTGGTACTAATTAAGGGGATAAAATCATAGTGTCAAACCTTTTGATATGTAGGCTTGGTTCAGGTTCAGGATAAGGAATCGAATTTTATAAAGGTTTATCTCACGTTGAAAATTCTTAAATAAAGGTTTAGTGAAAATTATTTTTTATACCGGATAATAGCTCTACAAATAATTTAATCCTATTTTATGATAAATATAGTGGAATAAGATAAAACACAGTTTAAAATTAACCCAAGATTTTTTTGTCAATTTTTTGTATATAAAATTATGATTACGAGGTATAATTAAAATCTTGTTCAGGCTGAGCCATTCTTTCCTTCTCCATATACAAAAATATCGATGTTTTTTCCGTTCGATGCCTTTAAAATAATTTATTATGGTACCTATCAGTGGTGCCACTAGTCTTTACTATCTCAGGGGGCTCAACAACAAATAATGATGGTCTTCGCCCCCATACCCCCCCCCCCCTCCCACACATTTTGAGATTTTCTAACCTTAAGTATTCAAATTCTTACATTTTTTCATTTATTTTTGTATTGGGCATATTCTGAGGATTCGGAATCATGATTTTTCTAGAAAGAGGCACCAAAAGCAATATTTTATATTGAAGATATTGCTAAGTTATATATAATAAATATACATTTGTATTGGGTATATTCTGAGGATTCGGAATCTCTGATTTTCTAGAAAGAGGCACCAAAAACAATATTTATATTGAACATATTGCTAAGTTATATATAATAAATATACATATCATATTTTGACGAATTTTGAGAGAAATTAGTACAATAGATAATAATATAAAGAGGTGTGACCTGTCTTCAAACTTGGCCATTTATGCCACTTCTTCCCTAATGATTTATCATATATTTATTAAAAATTTTACAATTGACGATTAAAATGCCATATCTCCTAAACCTTAAATTTAGCAAATATATATTAATAAATCCTACAGCTATACTAAAAAAAATGCCTGTTTGATTTTATGATCATTTCTGGATTTTGACATTTAAATTTTTTAACATTATAAAACTTAAAAAGCCAACAATTAGACTATATAAATTTTAAATGATGTTTCTATCTCAAAGATATCTAAAATTAAAGAGAGTGGAAAAAGCCCCATTATTTTTACCTTTGGAGACCCTTATCTCAGCCGTTGTAGGCTAAAATATTTTTTTTCTTAGTTATAAAATGTTTAAAAAAAATCTGTGGGGTCGGGTTGAAACTCATGTTAATTAAATTTCATATATAATTAATTATAAAAACATAACATATTTAAGTAAATAATTTTTTAAATTAGCCTATATATCATTAATCAGTCAAATAAATTTATAATATATTATTAACAAATTACAAAAGTTGCTGGATTGGATTTTTATACCTGGACCAGGGTATGTTTAAAAATTTGATGAGTATCGAACCGATATATCACATTGAAATCTTAACAGTATCGGTCAAAAAGAGCATTGATTGTACATAGTGTTGTTAAATGACTCAATTTGAGCCCATTTTTAAAAATAGCTAACTCAATATTTTAGCCAGAAAAATGTTGCCTAAACCTCGAGATTTCGTTTATAGATATTCAAACCTTTCTGCCATTTATTAACCTAATAGCCAGGCTTGCGTAATATTTTTCTTTATAAAATATTGAGTTAGCCGTTTTTAAAAATCGGATCAAATCAAACCATCTAACAACACTTTATACTTCTAGATATAATAGTGAAAAAAAAAGAATTTACCTGTTTTAAATTTCATTATATTCATGTTATAACAAAATATGAATAACATTGATTAATTAAATGAAGAAAGATAATGTCGTTGTTTATCTTAATAAATATTTTGAACAAATGGGATTCGAGCGTAAACCAAATTGGAAGACACACGATAAAGACCAAATATTCAATATTAATCTTTCTCTAGAGTATATGTTTAAAGACTGCATAATTTTTTTTATAAGTATAGAGCCGGTGTATGGCATTGTAAACAAAAAACATAATATAGATGTATATTAGATTAAAAATAATAATAATATATATTTTGATAAATGCAGTGCCTGAAAAATATTTTTAAAAGTGCTGACTAAGAATTTTAATCAATCTATACTCTATTTCTATATATTCGATTTTATTATTTTCTAAAATTTAGGAAAATGTTTACCAGGAGGATACAAAGGTCCCGTGAAACCGTATATAACTTTAGAATATCCTTCAATATCAAATGATCTCTCTTCCCATTCTGAGTTTAGCCCAACTTCTAAAAACAATTTTCTCTTTTCTGTAAAAAATAATAGAGATTATAAAAAATGGAACAATAATCATGTAAATAAAATATACGGAGAAGGTTTAATGCGTTCTAGAAAAGATATGATGGACCAAATAAATTTTGATAGTTTATCAGAATATCAACGTGACCTGGGGTTAACTTGTTCCGTGGAAAATTGGCATTTTTTGGAATGTCCAAGTTACATTTTTACATTTCATTTATTTAATATTATTTTATATTATCTGAAAATTTAAATAACTTTATTGTTATATATGCAGTTTGCCGGTGTAACGGTCATTCAGTTTGTAGTGATGGGACCAAGATATGTGAAAAATGCCAAAATAACACGGATGGATCCGGTTGCGAAAAGTGCAGCTCAGGTTATTTTGGAGATGCTAGAAATGGGGGATTATGCAGAAAATGTAAATGTAATAATCATGCTTCTACCTGCAATCACATTACCGGAGCATGCCATTGTCGAACTAAAGGGATTATTGGGACTAATTGTCAATAGTGAATACCTATAAAATATTACCTTATATTATTTTTAAAATTAAGCCATCTAAACGAAAATCCTTTATTTCTTTTTTTATTTAATATTTCCAAAGTTTAATTATAAAATATTAGCAGGGCCGTACGTAATAATGAATTTTCACTTGGAAAGCATGATTAAAATTCATTTTAACACGAGTTAAATGTTATATCAACTTTAGAATATGAATTGAGGAATATTCGGCATGACCTGACTTGGAACGGGAATGCTATCTAAAAAAATATTCCGAAATGTAATAAAAATTATATATATATAAAATAACTAATAACTAGGGATGAAAAAAACTTTTTTTTGATCCCAATTTATTAGATTTTTATTGCTTTCGCCATCTTGCGTTCTTCTAGCGAAATTTCCCGTGATTTGCCCATATTTTGTTTGATTTGTGTACATTGTTATTTTTGATTTTATATCTTATTTCTATGATATTGCACCATTTGTTTTCTAAAATTTCGCATCTTTATATATACTTCATGACATTTTTATATATTTTTTATGTCATTTTGCATATTACTTGCTAATATGTGATATTGCGTCATTTTGCATGCTTTTTGTTACTCTTCGCATATTTTGATTGCTTTTTAAAATATTTTGCCTTGTTTGACGTGTTTTTCTATCATTTTGCATGCTTTTTTGTCATTCTGCTGTTTAGTAATAATTTTGCATAGTACATTTATGATTTAATAATTATTTTTTGCCTAGGGGGCATATTGGACAGGATTTTGTAAAAATCTAAAAATATTGACAAAAAGTCTTGAATAACTATTTTTAGCATGTTCTTTAATTATATTTATTTTAATTTTTAAGAATAATTTAAACTTTTTAAAATTTTCAATTGAAAGAAACAGGGTACAGGACATAGTTACAAGAGAACATAATTATTTTCTGGTTGCTATAACTTATAATTGGCAACTTATTTTCTTTTGCTAATATATTATTTATTGTTCAGCTTTTAATTTTTTTAAAAAAAATTGAGCCAAGTCCAGCCCCAAATTTTTAATTAAAAAATATAAATATACATTTTTATGAAGATAAATAAGGTAGAAATACTAATTGCTATGTCCTAATCACAGATAAATCCTAATTATCACCTTATTTTGATTAAAAAAGAAAATATTATTTTTAAATTTATTTTAGTTGAATCAGGACTCATAATTTGCCTTACTATAATCTCTCAACACTAGCACTTGATGGCAATGCAGTATTTATTTTATAAATTTTCAATATAATAAAAATTATCAAAACTATTCATGAGGTATTTGCGAATACATCTTTGTTTGGTATTAACTTAATCAACATTAAGAATAGACTATTAGCTGCTCTTTGGATCCAATTAATTAATATATGACCAATTCAACTTAAAATTGATTGTCAACATCTTATAGGTTCTAGAATCTAGTTTCTATAGAATAATTGTAGTAGAAATAAATATCTCCTCAAAATCATCAAAATTTAATGAATCTTGTTTTTGATTTAAAATAAATTTATCCGTCAATATATCAGCATCATTTTAGATTATAAAATCTATAAGATAAAATTATTCTTGATAATGTAATGTATGAGACCTATAATCTTCTGTTGTGCAGATAGATGTAAAAGATATTTGATAAATTGAATAACTTGCATTTCTTCAAAATTTGACAAAATCTTGCATCACTGAAGATTTCTTGGTATCATGAATGAGATAATATCTTATTCAGATTGATAAATAAGAAATTAGCAACCAAGGAAATTGGTTGAACTTTATCAATTATGAAATTGATGACTATTTACCAATTTTTGAGAAATAACTGGTTCTGATTATGGTTATAAGTAATTCCATTTATATTTATTAATAATACCTTAAGATATTTTAGATTGAAACTGCTTATTACTGGACGATATTATCCTTATATTTTATGCTAGTGTTGTTAAACGGTTCGATTTGAGCCGATTTTTAAAAACGGCTAACTCAATATTTAAGCCAGAAAAAGTTTATGCAAAACTGAAGATTTTGGTCATAGATAAATAAAACAAACCATATTTCACAATAAGACGACCCAAATTTATTCATTAAATAAAATAACAATCTAATATCCATCCATTAAGAAAAATATAATATAATAAATCATAATTATCCAATTTTTCATCTCCCAAAGGTCCATAGCTGACATCTTCTGCCATTAATCCAAAATCTCCAACTAAGGGCTTTTTCCTAACAATAAAACCCCATGACCTATCTCCTCATCTTCCTCCCCCAAGGAAAACTTAATTCCCCTGTCAGAAAATAACTGACATTTGATGTATTATATTAAATTTATTTCTTCTTTTTTTCAACAGTTACAACACGCCCACCCTTCACAAGCCCAGCATCCCTCTCTCTGTGGTGGTGTTGTATCGAATCACCTCTTTGAATTGTATCGAATCACCCCATTTAATTGTATCGAATCACCTTTTTGAATTGTATCGAGACGCCTTGAAGATGTTCAGGGAATTTGTCGAATCGTCTTCCCTTATGATGATTTATAATATAATATCGCCGATACCTTTCAATATATAATCGCGAAAACACATATTATCGATATTGACATGTACATTGGGGTATCTGCATTTATAATCTATGGAACATTAATATGGACAATGTAATATCAGCAAAACATAATATTTCATTCATTTTAACACATTTGGGAAATATGAGCTATAATACACATTATTTGGGTATGATTCATGGTAATTAAGAAATAATGATTTTACATATAATAATGTAATGTGAAAACATGGTCTATGTGTGAAATGCAATTTCAACACATGTAATTTTCCTTCGGTCATATGAAAAAAAACAAAGCTACATTTCTGTAAATATTTCCTAAAATGAATAGAAAAATCCATCTTTAGGTATTAAAAATAATTGCGAAACTTTGCCGAACAAAGATTTAAAAAAAAATTACAATACATACTTATATAAATACATTTAATATTTTATATGAAGGAACAAATATATAATATGTAGAAAATACAATATTTTCCATCTAGGAATTACTCAGTATCCTAAGAAAAATATACCATTTCTACCTAACTGTCATCACAATTAGCACAAATTCACAAAAATGTAGAATGCAAAGTAACAAAAATTGAGAATATAATGGGCTATATGGTATATACGTAAAGAATTTTTAATATACCTTCACAATATAAAATAATTTGAGTCTTTTCTTTAAAAAAAAATGTTCATAAATAAATAGTAAATAGTGATGTGCTATAAAATTATTACAAAGATAAAAATGTAATATGCAGCATAAATTTACAAAAAAAAAATTTACACCAAAAAAAACTTTCCCCAGTATGCAAACTACAATATTTTCACCTCAAGGCATACCCCTCAACATGGGCTGACCTTATCTGTAAAAATATTTTCCCTTCACATCATTGCATACCATAAAAATAATATAATAATTGCAAATAAAACTCTTTATAAAAATTTATAATTTAAAAAAAATATATATATATATTAAATATAAAGACTTCATAATTTAAAAAAAATATTTCCCATCATCTAATATATCACATAAATTCCTACCCAATTTATATATATATCAAATGCAGACACTCAATCAAAATAACTATCCACAACTAACATTATAGATATTATTCTGACTTCATCATACTTCAATTCCTTTAAATTATCATTCATAATTAAATATATCATATGTATAATTTACATTACATCCTATTTCATTAAAATGGTTAATTACTTCAAAATAAACAACAATAACTTCCCTTCAATAGATCACTTAATAATATATCAACCTTGATTGAAACTAAATTACAAATACAATATATTAACATTAAATAATAATAAATGATCCCACACATGTCCATCCCTTTAAAAACCCAAAATGCATAATTATAATATACACTTTATTACAAAAGTCTATTTCCATATATATTTTCCTTAATTTCAAATATTTAAATATTTAGCAATCTTTTCTGTCCTGCTGATTATGAGGTCTTTTATCTTCTTATGACGGAATACCTATAACACCATTCAATGAGTCCTAAGGCATATCAAATAATAATCAAAATTGGATGTACCATATAAATCTAGACATAAGATAATATACCAAATATTACTGTCTTAAATTCCTGATCTTATTTCCATATTCTTGCCTAATACCCATTACATACTTTCTATCTTTACCTTTGTAAGCTAAATATATAAGTATAGAAACTCTTAACTCACCCCTTAATCTCACCTACTCCTGTATAGTGGTTAGTACTTATGCGTTGTCAAAATTTATCATATAATATATATACAAAAATTTTGTTTTACCTTTAAAACCGAATCATTCCAAATCTTCCGATCCTGGTCAGCTGGCAACAATAAAACAAACCATATTTCACAATAAGACGACCCAAATTTATTCATTAAATAAAACAACAATCTAATATCTATCCATTAAGAAAAATATAATAAATCATAATTATCCAATTCTTCATCTCCCAAAGGTCCACAGCTGACATCTTCTACCATTAATCCAAATCTCCAACTAAGGGCTTTTTCCTAACAATAAAACCCCATGCCTATCTCCTCTTCCTCCCCCAAGGAAAACTTAATTCCCCTGTCAGAAAATAACTGACATTTGATGTATTATATTAAATTTATTTCTTCTTTTTTCCAACAGTTACAACAGATAGCACATAGGTTTATACATCTATTAGCGAAGTCTCGAGGCTTAGGCAAAATTTTTCTGGCTAAAATATTGAGTTAGCCGTTTTTAAAAATCGGCTCAAATCGAGCCGTTTAACAACAATATTTTATGCATCTAAATTTAAATCATGTATTTATTTTTATTAAGTTAAAAATTTTGGAATAGAAAATTCCACAATTCATTTTCTAATAAAATTTTGTTGTTATCATTTGTCTCATTCTAAATTAAATTTTAAATACATAACCAAATTTTAGTTTATTTTTTGTATTATATAAAATTTGAAGTAACGAAGTTGGGCGCTACTAACTACTCTCTAAAAATGAGCCCAATTGTAGCTATCGCTACAAAAATTAGTGTACCGCTCAGAAAATGACAAATCACTACGGGCTTGGTTTTTTATATTTAGATTGACTTAAAAATATCTAAATCGATTTTCTTTTTACTCATTCAACATTTTTTATGATTAAAATTCTAAAGTTGCGACACAATTAACCATTATGTTGGAAACCCAGGTTCTGGTGGTACCTGCTATTATACTCTTACGACCGATTACATGTTTACCTTTAATTTGACAAAACCAGAAGATCAATATTACACGGGCATTAATATGATGAATCGGCTCGAGAAACCAGATAACGCGATAGAATTTAAAATATCTTGTAGTGGACTACCAAAAATGAATATATCTTATCTCAGAGGTGATGTCAACCGAAATAATATGTCTACTGATTTTATTTAATATTGGAATAAATTTTTTAAACATTTACAAGGATTTATTTTGATCCAATTTCATAACAAAGTCATTTATTATATCCTTTTTTTACACAAGATACTTCGAATGAGATGGTCGAGTTGATAGCAAATGAATCATGTAAAACTAAATCGATAGAATTAAATTCTAGATATTTTACTGTTGGCGCTAAAAATATCACTTTTTATATACGACTTTATAAATTTGAAGTTCCTATATGGATTATGGTAAATTAAATAATTATATTTATATTGGCGCTGTTAATAGATATAATAGGTTTATTTGACTTATTATGAAACTAATTTTATTGACTTTTACCTCGAATAGGATTTAATTTACAAATTTTATTCAGTCATATAACTTTATTCCTATCTTAATAAACAAGGAACTTAGTTTTTTTCATTCGGGTCATGAGTACTTTTTTTTTATATTTAAAAAAATCTAATGAATCTATTCATATATAAATATTATACAAGATAATTTAATACTATTAATTATTTCTTAGGTCTCCTTTTCAAATACCCCAAAATTAGATATCCTTCAATTTTTCATAACCTTCCTCAGGTTTATTGCAATATGTTTATCTAATAAATATTTATATATAGTTGTTTTTTGTTCTTGTTATTTGTCGCAGCGGTATCTTGGAAAGTTAAACAAAAATATGATATTTATAGACGGCGACAAGTTAAAAACCCTTTAATTTCCTTAAATTAAAATAATAACTTTAATTTTGTTTTTATTATAGAGATTATTTATCGAAATGGAGCAAATGGCTACTCGCCCCTTTTCATCTTTGTATTTATATCTAGAAAGCAAACATCCTTCATTTTATATTGGAAAGAAAAAGGTTTGTATTTATAAAATTAATTGCTTAAATCTAGTGTTGTTAAGCAACTGTTTCATTTTGCTAAATAATAACTATCTAGTAACTTTAATAAACTGTGACTGATAGCTATAATTAATTGCATTTTTAAGAATATAACGACAAATCCAGTTACTTTTTTAGAATATGTTAATATTTACATATCACTCATCTTTATATGATTTCCTAAATTTAAATTATTAGTTATAAATATATATCAAGCTCTTCTATAGTACTTATTTTTAATCTAGGAAACCTATTTTGGGAGAAGCATCAATTTTGAAAATAGTTTATTGTTAAAGCCAATTAAAAATTTAACTAAAATATGAAAAATAAATTTTATATTGTTATTTTTAGGATGTAAATAAATATTAATTGTAATCCTTTCTTCAATGCAAATAAATAATATATTGTGGTATTTTTTCAGACAATTATTATTTTTATTTAAATTTTATTTTCATATATATTCCTTTTATAAAGTAACTTGCAATCGCCTAACGACATTTTATCACGCGACATTTTATCTTGATATACTTAAAACTTAATTTAATATATTTGAAGAGTTAAATTTTGATAATAACTCATATTTTGATTTTCCGTTTAAATTCCGATATTTAAAAAATTTTAATTAATTTATTTTATTGAGAAAAACTCATATTTTAATTTTCATAAATATAATTTTTTTAACTTAATTATCATCTTATCTAGGGAAACAGGAGACATAAGTAATAAGAATGATTTTAATTTATACTTTTTTTTATTAATAAGTAACTTTAAATCAATATATCATGAGTAAAAAATATAAATTATTTAATTTCATGAAATATGGGCAATAGCTTTTAAAAATGTTAAAGAATCCGATAGTCGATAATTCAAAACATATCTGAAATCGTCTTTTTATATCTTCATATTTCTTTGAACGGTGGTGTTCCCATTATGACTTGAAGATATAGGACCTTATATTTTTGCATATCTTTTTGAGTCCCATCAAAAAATTTCCAAAGCGTTGGGTGAGAACATTGTGGTATAGGGATTGAATTCCATAATACCACCCTTTAACACAATTTGTTATTCGAACGACACCTTCTAACGTCGAATTGTGGTTGTTCCATAATCTTACATTATAGAGAGGAGCTACAAAATTATTTCGTTGCCCTATATAAATATACACCAAATGGGATTTCTACGTCCTCGGATATAGGTCTTCTCAAAGTAGGAAATAAGTTCAGGTGAGTCATTCAATTCTCTAAATATTTCTGCCAAGGTATCAAATGAATTTCAAACATCATCCCCTAGGACATATGCAAGGGCCGATAAAAACCTGTTATAGAATCGAAAGTTGTCATTAGACTCTCATACATTCTTTTAATCCTAAATCATTTATTTTTCTAATAACGCTCTGTTTTAGATGAAAATAACATCCAATGAAATCTTTTATCGGTGCAGGTTCCCAATATTTTCCTAGGATGTGCCCCTGGTAATAATTGTTTCAACTCAAATAAAATTTAAAATATATAATATGATTACGTTTATCATCCTTGCATATGTATGCGCCGTTTTATTTGGTAATAAGCAATATATACTAACAGGGTTCGCGCGAGGCAATATAATGGTTGAACTTGATTTTTTATGCCGTTGTAATGATCAATAAGGGCTGACTTATTTGGCATAACCATTAATCTATTATTATCATAATTTAATAATGTTGTTGCTTGGACCAATGAAGGACTAGAATACTCACTTAATTTTGATTTCATTCCTGATATAGCTTTTTTGGCATTAGATTTGGAAATGTTACCTTCATGAGTATGATCAAGAAGACTTCTTAAAATATCATTAAATTTTGTTTTAATAAAAGAATTGCATTTTTTGTGATTTGTTTTTGGCGCACCTCCAGCATATTGATTCATTTTAATTTGTTCTAAATTTCATATATTCATAATTTTGATATGAGGGTAGGTTTATTTTTTGATGTAAATCCAAATTATAACATTATAATTAATAAAAAATATATTCTTTAATAATATTGAAAATTGAGATAATATTATATTTATGGATAAATACAAAACCTTAACTTTTAAAAATCTGTGAAAAAACGATTAACTTAAAAAATATCAATAGATAAACACATTTTTTCAACAATTTTTTTTATTGTTAATAAACATAAAAACACCACACTTAAATTTATTTATTTATAATTTTTAAGTGGCGTGTGGTAAAATGTCTCATGATAAAGTGTCACAAGATAAAATGACGAGTGATAAAGTGTTGCCGTGATAGTCTCGCATGATAAAATGACTCATATCCTTTCAATATACTTTTTTAAAATAGTTAAAAGTAACTTTTAACAAAATTACTGAAAACACATTTTATTAAATTATATTTCTAAACAGAAGAACAGGCCAACCCCTATTGCACTTGAACCTTTAATAGATGAGTCATCTGCTGTCTTATCCGTGATCGTTAGGTTGCCTACTTCCAAAGGTAATTTTTATCGTTAAAAAATAAAATTATCCTATTAAAATTTTTATAAGATAAATATGGAAATCCAATTACACCCCATGGCGCGAGTGGGTTAGGTCTTGGGAGTACTTTGGTGTCTATGGGAACTCTTAATTTATTTCCAGATTCAACCCACAAAGCTCAATACTCTGATCAAAACTTTGCTAACGACAAACCTGAAGCGACAACTCATAAACAATTCCTTAAAAACTATCTCCAATATTTCAATTATCATGGTCCTGACCTTAGTGCTCAGAATAATCATAACAATCAAAGTTGCATTTCAAATGTTCCGATATCCATTCTTACCACCCCTCATAATATCGCACCAGCTTCAAATTGTTACAATAATCAAACGCAATCACAAATCCAGCAACATTCCAATTGGTTTAGCAATATCTATAATACTATTATAAATAGCAATACCATTCGCAATAATTTGAACAGAAGTAACAGCGAATCAAACAACAATATTATGATTTATGACGTGAATCATATTCGATTTTGGGGATCTTTAAGGCATATATTCATCAATGGATTTAACATAAGACCGAGACCACATCCTATTTCTAATCTTGACGATAATATTCATACGCCAATACAAAACAATAATCAGGTCTGTTTTTTAAATTAGTTTTTATATTATTCAATTATCAAAAAACAGATTTTGATTTAGTAGACTATGAATTGACCTCTTCAAAAATCTCAACGCCGTTTAATTTTCTGTAGATTTTATAATCATGTTGAAATTCTTATTTTATTATTTATTTTAAAAATCTATGCAAACAAAATTATTTATTTACCGTATATAATTTAAATTGAACATTTTATATAAATAATTATATAATTAGCTTAATTTTATAATATCAAAATTTATATAGATTTTTATGATTGTGTACCATTATTTATACATAATTTTTACAATATATATATATATAATTCATAATAAAAAATTTGGCATATTTATAAATTATAATTTTTTGAAGATGCAAAAAGGAAGACTAGAATACATCATTTTCTTAAATATAAATTTTAATACGTGGTACAAAAATGCACAATCTCATTTATGAAATTAAAAGTGTAAATGTAATCTCATTTATGAAATTAAAAGTGTAAATATTAAGGCAAGTAAATTTTAACAACATCCTTAATTGAATCCCTACATATAGGGCATAAACCTAATGAGGGCAAGTTGTATGGCATATTAAAAGTTGTATAGGTTGGCATTGAAGTATGAATTGATGGTAAAGTCATTTTCCAAGTTTGGGATGCACATACATAACACATACAAGCGTGCCCACATGGATAAAGGATGCAATCTACGTTGGGTTCATAACACACTACACATTCTTGTTCACGTCTCAAAAGTGGAGTCAAAGTATCTTTATTATTAACTCCTTCGCACAATGTCCCATTTATTGTCTCCAAAGTGCTCTCTTTCTTATCCTTTATAATAATTATAATAAATTTAAGACAGGCCAGGCTTAGAAATATGTAAAGATTCTAAAAAAATTAAATATTATTTTTCAATAGAACTGGGCTCAAACTTAAAAAGAAATCGAACGGCGCAGGCCGAAAAAAATGTATTTACGTGGGGTTTATAATAATTTTTCTAAAATATATCGTCATCATTTAAATTTTTAAGATAAAACATATGTGCGATAAGTATATTTAATAACTGAAAATGATTGATCTATTATAATAACATAGAATATTGAAATTTTGGAATCTTTACAAAAATTATATATTTATTATTTTAAAATTTATCTTTTCATTTATTATAGGTATACATAATTGAAATGTTTAATCTTATTGATATTTACAGAATTTTTTGACGATCTAAAAATATATAAAGATGTATTTTTTTCAGAGTTGTTAGATGCCATTATTTCAAAAATCGGGAGCGAGAGCAAGCTCCTTTTTGGGATCCTACAGTAAATATTTTCTCTTCTAAAACAAGTATATCTTAAATCATTGCAACGAAATTTCTGTCAAAATCTTCTATTGAAAAGACACATTTTAAATGGAATTAAGATAAGGGCTCTATGATGGTACTTCCTTCTACCAATTCGTTAATTGTATGGTTATGATGAAATGGAATATTATCCATCACAAAAATCATATTCATCATATTAATTTCTTCAAAATGATTTGGTTTTTCATTTACATAGTGGTTAAAGTGTATAGCGTTACAGGGGCCATCAAGAACCTAAAATATAAATATTCCCGCAATCATTTAGGGCTGCAATGATAATATAATTCATTGCCTTAATCCCTTGTACCTTTTCATTTTATTTATGAATATCCACATAACCGTCTCATTGATATTGTAAAATCGCTCTAAAATAAAAATAAAGAACTTTGGTAGTTGATCTGAATTAAAAACTCGGCTTAAATTATTTATAAATCATATAGGTTACATCAGCAAACCAATATGCGCATTCTTTGCGAATCTCGATATTTGATTCGGTATTTTCTCTAACTGAAATCGCTCGATTTGAGCCTATTTTAAAAAACAACTAACTCAATATTATCCAGAAAAAATATTATGCAAATTTCAAGATTTTGTTCATAGTGACATAAAGATTTGGATACCTATTAGAAAAATCTCGCTAGGCATTATTTCTCTGGCTGAATCGGTTCATATCGAGCTGTTTAGCAATGATACCCTTTAAAACTCTATACCTAAATCCAGATAGTAACCGTGATACCGTATTTTTTGATATTTATACATCATATCTTTTTTTAATATTTTCACAACTGTTTTAAGGAAAAAGTGAATTCCAAATTTATAGAATTTAGTACATAATTCTTCCTGTTCTTGATTTAATTCTTGAATGCACGTGAACTTCCTTTAAGTATACTATATTTTATTCCATTTTTGAGATTAGAGTATTTTATATTTGTCACAGTTTTATAGCTTATTTACTATCCTTTTTTAACGCGTCAATTATTAGAGCCAAAAAATATTACGAAAAAAGACTGATTGCCAAAAAGAAATAAAAATATAAGGAGAAAAAAATCATCATAAAATTGTTATGTAGGATGAAAAAAGCAAAAAAAATTGTTTAAAATGACATAAAAATAGAGAAGTGAAGAAAAATAACTGGGAAAATAAATAAATTAATATTAAAAAGAGAAAAAAGAATTATCAAAATGAGAAGATTAATAATTTGAGAAAAGATAACAAAAATAAAGATTGAAAACAACTTAAAGAGATTGCAAAAAGTTAGAAATAAAATTTTAAAAAATAAAGAAAACTAAAAATTGATAATAAAAAAAATAACGATTTTCCTTTTTTGATTGGACCTTTTCCTTTTTTGTTTGGCACTTTTCCTTTTTTAATCTGACTTTTTCCTAAGCCTTTGGGGCTTTTGATTGGGAAACCCTCTATATAAATTAATCAGTTGAAAAATCATATAATGGAATGATTGATATTCATTTATATTTTTCCAATTTGCAAAATAGAGACATTTTCAAATAGCATATTCCGGGCCAGGGATGAAAATGAATTAGAATCCTCGGTAAGAATATATTATCATATTTTATTTAAAAGAGATCTTTCATGATTTGAAACAAAATGATAAAAAAAATTTAAACCTCTAACTAACATCATAGATGACATTTTTCCTAAAAAAATTTAAACCTAATTTTAAGTTATAATGGTTTTTCTTTCTTTTTACCCCCTTCCTCGAAGCAATCATAGATATGGTTACATTAATAAAACTAGAAGTCGGTCAATTGTCAATTTATCATAGGTATATTTTACACATTGGTGTATTTAGTTTAAAAAATCCTAATTTAACTTATAGATGTTATTCTTTTGACTCTCCCTTACCCATCCTTGAAGCAAAATCCTAGATATGGTTACATTCATATAACCAGGGTTGGCAAGTCGGTCAATTATCAATTGATTAAAAGTATATTTGACTGGTCAAATACTTTAAAATATGTGCTCCGCCTTAATTAAGACATCTTAATGAATTTGACCTCGAATCGTAAAAAACTAAAAATAATGATATTTATAGGGTATAATATTTTGCCGAGTACATACCAAAATTCGATTTTTTATTTTATAACAAATTGAGCAATCTAATGTAAAAAGCATCATAAAATTTTGTAAATATGATAGTACTAATAAAAAAAATGTCAGTAAACCATACGCCCTATTAATAACTTAACCAGTCAAAAAAGTGTCGACTTTATTAGATAAAGCTGTTGTAGATAGTTTCAACGGGTAGTCTTATTCGATTCATATATATCATTTTTTTTAAATAAACATGCATGCATGCCTGTATCTCATATTTACATTAATTAAAATTGACTCAAGGTGGGCTTCCTCTATAAAATTTGTAACTACAAATTAGCAAAGGGGCATCCGTTGTTAAAGGAACATTTGTGATATATTTCCAAAGAAAAAAGTTATATATTAGACGACAGAACAATTTTGAATGAAAAAAGTTTTTAAACATATAATTAAACGCTAACTCCTTATTATATCCTCAATATCAAGGGCATCTTATGAATTAAATTTGTGATATAATAACCATGATTAATCCAAAGAAATGATAATCTAGTCATTTTGGCTAATATAATATATCCTCGTTGATAAACCAAAATGAAAGTAGAATCTATGAACTTTAATCAGATGTGAGCATCAAGTTGGCGGGTACTTTGCCCTTTAAGGTAAGTGGCAAATGTCATGGTAACCCTTCCAAGTTCAACTTTTTCTTCAAAATAAATTAGTCCGTTTGGGTAATATTCACACAAAGAACCTAAATCGATTTAAAACTTAGACTAAGGGGAAGTCATAACCTAAGTTTAATTAATATAAAAAATAATAACTCAGTTGAATCAAAAAAAACTCTTCCATAGCAAACGAACTAAATTTTCCTAAATAATTTAATCAAAATAGAGAAATTATTTATATATATTCATTATAATTATTCCAAGCATAGTTAATATTAAAAACATAATTGAATTTCCCCGTCAAATACCCAACCTTTATTTTAACTAAATTTGTAAACAAAATGAGGTCAATGTAATTAAGGCTCAGACAAAATTTTAACGATCACGCACATATGTTTTTAGAGATTAAATTGGAAACAATAGTATATTTTTATCATTATTGACCTTCATTAAATAGTGATCTACTAGCTATATTAATATATCTTATTAAAATATAGTTAGATTAGAGGTCGGCGTGGCCCGACCAATAAAATAATTTTAAACAAGTTTCCCAGCCCGACTTATAATAATTTTTTTGAAGGATGACGTAAATACGCTTAATAAAACTTGGCTCGGCAAAGAAAATCTTTTTTCTCTGCCCGGCCTACGGGCTGACTTGTAGTGCAGATACTAATTTTTAGGGAAAAATTAATAAATGTCTGTATTTTTTTTTATTATTGTACAAAATCTAGACATAATTTTTTTATTTAATAATTGAGGCTAAGAAAATATTTTTTAAATATTTCTATATATATGCATCTACATATTTTTTAAAAATTTAAACGAAAAAAAAACAAATTTAAATGGGAATAACTATTTTCCCTCCAAGTGGGCGTATTGTAAAAAATTTACGAACGTTTTAATCATTTTTAACCTATTTAATATAATCTAATGTCCCAGTGTAGATATCAATTGATAAAATTAAAAGCTTATATAAAAATCATATTTATTACTTTATTCGCATAATATATATAAATTTATATTGTTAAATTATTATCTAAAAATTAATACAAATGGTTTAAGGTCAAGAGCATAATATTTCACATATCTACCAATAATTTTCTTTCTTCTTTTGAATATGATACATGGCCATTAATAAAAGGGAAACAAACTAATTGTATTCATGTCTAGATAAATGTGAGGAGCCTACTTCTAGTGAACTTATATATCTGAACATTTTTTACATTTAAAAGACTATTGCTTTCATCTTTGTCTAATATAATATTCACTCTTCCATACTTTACTTTTAAAGGAATTATTCGTAATTGATAACACTGTGTGACAAATTTCGACTTGATTTTTTGGGAGAAAATAAAATAAACAAGTTTTAAGACAGTTTTTTATGCATATTCTAAATCCGCTGTCAGTTTTTTTCTAGCACGTCAGGTTTTTTATTTATTTTAAGTTAAAGTGGCCAAAAGGGTCATTTTTAGCACTTTTTGAAGGTTTATAACTTAGATTCTAATAATCCCTACAACTAAAAAAATATCTTAATTTTTGCAGCAAACCTTCCTTATTATCATACATTTTTTTTTATAAAATCCTTACTCAATTTTTAAACAACCTATATTTTTTAAATTTACCTTTATTTATAAAATCTTTTTTAATATAGCTTACATTTAATATATTTATTTTAAAAAAAAAATTAATGAAAGAAATTAAATGTTTATGAAAAATTAAGCGCGAAAAAAAATAATTCTTCTCCTTTCTTCCTACTCGTTATTTGGCATTATTATTTATTGCCCATACTACGGGTTCAAGGTACTCCATTGGAAAATCATATATTTTGATATAAATGGATTAAAAAAACAAATATTATAAAAAAGATTTAATAAAAAATTACAAATTATTGCATTTTAAATGAATTTTGCTTCAGTACAAATTAAAAAAGTGGGTATATATATCTGATTTTGGTATAAATTGATCATAAATGCATAAAATATTACTAAATACAACTTAAAAAGATAAATATTACCTTAATTTTGCTTTAAAAATGCTTTATGCAGAGAAGATTCAATAAAAGTGTACAAATTAAAAAGTTCGAAAATATCTGTACCGACTTTTTTAATTTATAGATTTTGGTTGAATTTTCATGGCATAGAGTACTTTTGAAACATAATTAGAATTAATATATAATCTTGAGCATATTTGAAGCAAAATTATATAAAATTTATCTTCTAAAGTTGATAATTTTGATAGTAATTAAATTGAAAACTTAAGACCCCCAAAACAAAATTCTTTACCATTTTTCTCAAAAACCAATCTATAAAAAATTATAAAAATTAGTAAATTTATAAAGAAATATAAGTTTAACACTATTACCAATTTTCAGGGATTTTTATTCGATACCTTTTAAAATATATCCGTATAAAGACCTAAATTTTACCATTTTTGAGATTTCGAAAAAGTTGTCTTTATAAGGTAATATTTTTAAAACTTGACGTGTAGGGAAAATTTGGAAAACGGATTCGAACTCAGCGTCGAATTCTGCACCAAAACTTGTTTTTATTTTCTTCTCCCATTTTTCTTGTCACACAGTGTAATCTAAGCACTGTATCCCTAAAATTTTAGTAACGATGACAAGTGACAGCCTAAATAATGAATAAAATCTAAATTTTAAGCATAATGAAGGTAGGCAAGCTCTTTAATTAACACCATATTTTTCTCCAATTAAAAAATATAGATAAACAAAAATAAAATCCAATTAAAAAAACAATAAAGGATATTTTCCTTTTTATCAAAATGCAAAAACCAACCATATTACCAGAGAGTTGACCATTTCAATAATTAATGATGAATCTAAATATCGTATTACACCGGCCAAAATTCTGTCAACAAAAAGGGTTTTTATTCTATGCTTAATCTTAAGTCTAGGAAATTAATTAATAAATTACAATAGTTGTGAAAATTTTATAGTACATGATAGTAAATGATGCCAGGATTAAAATATATTATATGGGCAAATAATTTCTATATTGGTTGATATTAATATTTTAGGGGTTTAAATTTTTATTAATTAGTAATTTCATTTACTAGATGATAAATTTTGTAAAATAAGTTAAACGACATTAAATGTGTAGAATTTTTTTTATATAATAAACCCATTGGCGAGAAAATATTTATTGTCCTTTAAATTGGTTTTAAGCTATTACCAAATATAAAAAAAATTATTTTTAGATCTTGTATATAAAAAAAATGACAGGCAATTTTAATAAGTTTCATATTTTTAAATATTTTATTAGGATTTTTATTTCTTGGATATATTTATAGGAAAATATTTTTCCTATTTTATTAATTTTGTAATTTTTAATATCTTAAAAAATGGGCATTTTTTTACCTGGGAATTATTTTCCTAGATTCATTTCATAAGTGTTATTTAAAATCATGTAGTTTGGGGTTAATCACTTGAATGAAGGCCGATAATGATAAAAATCGATGATTTTTCCTACTATGACCCTTAATATCTCCAAAAAATATAAATGCTTGAAAAGGTTAGAATAGTGAGTAGTTACATTGATTTTATTTCGCATATTAAGTGGTCGGCTAAATGTTATTGACATATAATTATAATAAATTCAAAATTATAAAGCAACAAATATTAGAAACTTTTAGAAAATTAAATTGTGCATAAAATTGTGGAAATTACCATCAATATAAAATTTGCAATCTAATAATAAAAATATAAATTTTGATAAGATCCCAAAATTTCCAAACTAAGTAGAACATTGCATATAACTTACATATCAGGTCTACTCCGGGCTGAGAGCTGATCCGATTATTTTTTTAGAGATAAAAATTAAATTCTAACTCATTTTAAATATAGAGTGGTTTCCAATCGTAAAAAATAAGGAAAAATATTATGTTGTTAATGCTCCTTTTTAAAAATAGCTAGCTCCCGCTCCTGCCTTCTCAAAAGGAGCTAGCTCCCGCTCCAAGTAATGGATTGCCACTCCATAACCTCTCCTTTGATTATCACTTTTTATAGAAGGTACACGAAACAAAATCATATTTTTTTATCAAAAAGTTTTATTTATATTAATGATCTATCAAAATATTTATACCTTTAAAAGTAATAAATTTTCTAAATTAGAATCTAACAAACATCCACACCTCTCCCCTAAGACCTGTTTTGCAATACTAAATAAGCACTCCATAAGAGCACTAGAGGGAAGCGGGGTATTGTATTTTATAAAGATATTTTTTAATTCAGGTATAAAAAAGTAGGTTGAACCAAGTAATGAGAAAATTAAAATAAATATTAAAATATATTTAAAAAAGCATCATATCTAACAACCCAAGCTCAACTATAATGAATTGACCAAAAATAATTATAACCATTTTAAAAAAAATTATTCCAAAATAAAAAAAAATATAGTTATCATTTCGTAAAGATATATTTTTTAGTTTTAGATACTTTTTTAGATTGGAGCTGCTCACTTTTAAAATAAAATACTTTTAATTAAACAAAAAAGGCATTTTGCCTTTTGTTTGATCATTAGGATCAACATTTTTTAGAAGTTTAAAATATTTTTATATGATGGAAATGGAAATTCGATTTCTTGTTCTATGATCTCTAAATCCATAATATCGAAAACTATTTTTCATTATATAAATAAAAATATTAATATGACTTACAAGATTTTCCACAAAATTTTCAATATAAAAATGAAAAACTGTTTAATATTTGAATGATTAGAAGAAAACCCAATATAAAACTCGGCTCAACATTTAATAATGAATAAATTTAAATAAAATAAAATTTCATTTTTATGGAATTAACAAATATTATTAATATTTAAAAAATAATTTAATTTATACCTTAAATTTAATGGAGTGCCCTAAAAGGAGCTAGCTTCCGCTCCCGCTCCTCATTTTTAAAGGTGTTTTTGAAATAATTTAATCCCGAAGTTCAAGTCCTGTCTAAATGAAAATATCAAAATTGAGATTCAGTCCGACCAAGTCTAACATAATATTTGTCTGAGACCATAGGCGAATTTTTTGGTTAATCAAAAAAAAACTTCATTAAGCAAAAAAAGTTATTTTCTATTTTAACAAATTTTTACATTTTATTTTTTATTAAACCCGACAATTTGACTTTAGAAATCTGGACCTTGTCGGGTTAACAAATTAACAACATTTTTTTCCTAGCGGTAAAAGGTTCAAAAGTAAAAATTCAGGCCGAGCAAAAAAAATCAGGGATCCAAGCCGAAACGAATATCGGTTCAGTTCAAGTTCAAATTTGTATAAAAATAACGGTTCAAGGTTCAGTTTCGGTTCGTATAAAATAAAAATATCGGTTCGGTTTGAATCTCTAAAAACCGGTTTGAACACTTTTGTATTCAAACTTATATTCGAATTATGTGTAAGGAAGAATTATTTTTTTAATTTCATCTTAAAAATAATAACACATTATAAAATAATATTTAACTTTATATAATTAAAAAATTTTTATTAAGCCGCATAATAAATATATTTTCAAGATTCATCTCACTCAAATTACATCTATAAGGAGATAGTATAAATTTAATTGTTGAAAAACATCTTTTCACACTAACTTCGGTAGCCGGCACAATTCTGGGTATCATTTACTCTGATTTCTCCAATGGTCTAATCTAACATATTCATATTTTTATTTAACCTAGGTTCTTTAGAAAAATTAATTAAAATATTTCTAATATTCTACGATTTTTGTAACAGATTTTGTTTGTTGCCATTTTTTTAAGAAAACTTTCTACTAAATCCTCTTCAGGTGAAGATACATTAACCGGCGTTGATTCACCTTCAATAGAATCATCCACTCTTATAACAAAGTTTTCCATTGTTATGCCATGTTTTATTAATATTATCTTAAACTTTTTTATTTTATTAGGCTTTTGTTGTGATATTTTGTTAATTTTATTCGAATTCTAGAGGGTGGTTTCTTTTTATGTGATGCTCAAGATTTTCTCCATGAAGACCTTTCATATTTATTTAACAACAAGTAATTTTACATTATGATGTGTCATTTATAATACTATACTATATGTAAATAATTTATAAAATTCTGTAAAATGGCAATATACTAAAGTTTATAAAAATTATGACTGACACTTATCAATCAAATGTGATTGATAATAATTTTAAAACAATTTGAATATAATTAAAAAATTTGCAATATAATAGTAATTACTTACACATTATTTTATAAGCATAAAATCATGAGGCCCGAACAGGTTCAGAGGCATTTATAGGTTCGGTTCAGGTTCGGCTAAATTTTTTTAGCTGTTTGGGTTCCGTTTAGGTTTAATAAAAAAAACCGGTTTTTAGCAGTTTAATGGTTCGGTTCAGGTTCGGTTCCCTGAAAAAATCATGTGTCGAGGAAATCCGGACTTGAAAACAAAACTTTTCTGGGCTAATTCTACTTTAGACCTCAGAATATCAATTAACATTACATTATATAGTTTATTTTATTTGTTTCTTTTTTCTCACTTTTTAAAAATAGATGTATTCAAAAATATATATATTATTTCAAAATGATAACCTACATTTTTTATTGGTCTCCTTGAACATACGCTCGTGGGTATTTCAACATTAAAATCGATATGATTATTGATATCAAGTCCATTTACTATCTTATGACTTTTAGTTTCAATATAATTCGCTTGTAAATTATCACTAATATCAGGAAGCTGGGTAGTGGGAACTTTGTTAATTAGATCATAGACGAAACGAGGTGATATGTCGTAAATTCCATTGGGAATTAAAGAATCAATCTTAGGTTGCTCGAGATCAACTTGTTTATAGGAATTTCTTTTGACTCGATTTTTGATATTTATTTGCCTATTTAGGGGTAAAGACGAAGAAGAGTTAGTCTCGGAGTTTATCAACAAATCGTTAATTATTGATGGGGCAGAAAAACTAAACTGAACAGATTCATTTTGCTGCAAATTAAGTTGATTAATATCAAACGTCACACGATACGATCCTAATTCAGAAGAAAAAATATAAGGTACTGTCAATTTTTTAATATAATCTTTTATATTTAAGAAAGGTTATCGACGATATCCTTAAATTAACCGTTTAATATTTTAAATGGTAGATAGAAAAAGTAAAAATCTGCAAAGCTAGGTTTGCGAGCCGGGTAATAAATTTAAGAGACCAGACAATCCATATTTAAAAAACAGCGCCAGGCCTCGTAAACCCTGATTTTTCATATTTATAGGCTAACTCGGGAATTTTTAAACTTTGATATATTTTTTATTAATTTCATGATAATTAATGATTGATAATACTAAAATAAATTACAATATGCTTATTTCTTTACATTATAAGAGCTGTCTAACTAAAATACTAAATCTATAAATAATATAGCAAATTCACAATAAATTAAACAAGTTATTTATGATATAATCCTATTACAAAACATAATACAGATTAGTGATCTGCATCGGGCTTAATTTTTTAAGCCGACCCGAAATTATTTCAAAAAAGTTTTACCCGGCCCGGCCCGAACCCGAAATATTTTTTGAAAAAATTTACCGGGCCGGCCCAGTTAGAATTTATTTAAATATAGAAATCAATTTTGATAATTACTCAAAATAAATAATATATGCTATATGGGGTCTTAGTTTCTATAAATAAATCAAATATTTTTATTTTACATAAAAAATTCAACATAGAATTGATAATTTTAGATATATTTTAAAATAAGGCCCGACCCGGCCCGGATTTTCTTAAAAAATATGCCCGACCTAGCCCGAACCCGATTTTTTTTAAAAAAATAGGCCAGCCGGATTTGGGCTGGGCCTACTTTTGCAGATCTCTAATACAGATATCAAACACAAAATATTTATAAAACAGTTGTCGTAGAAAGAAATCGATAGGAGATATATAAGAGGGTTTTAATTGACATTAAAAAAATGATGTATAAATATAGATATTAAAAATGTGCTGACTCTTCACCTAAAAACGGTCCGGTAGGGTTTAATTTTTTCTAAAATTGTAGAAGACCGAGAAATTAATTTTAAAGGGATCGGCAAACATTTAAAAAACGGGTCTCACAACTTGCGCAAAATTTTAACGACCTGAGTTATCAATTAAATTATCGTATAAAATGTAAAATAATACATAAAAATGTCATTATTTAAATAATTTGGCATTAAGGGTTTTAAAAAAAATACTATCCTCAGTGACAGAATTTATCTAAGGAGAAGGGTATAAAATTTTTGGTGGAAGCTTTTCCTTCAAACCCCGATTTGCCAGGTCTTCGCTCAGGTCCTTAAATTTGCCTGAACAATTAAAAATATTAGTTCTAAAATTTATGCCGTGCTCAATTAGTACCTTTTAATGCTGTGACCACGGTCATTATAAAGGACAAAATTAATAGTAACAAAATTTTGGCCAACCTTATGATTAAAAAGCGACTAAAAGCATTTATACTGTTGAATTTCATTTTAATCCATTTAGTAGAAGTATAAAGAAAAAAGTTATTAAGTAAGAAAAAATTGCCAAAATGTACTAGAATGAAAAATATAGAAGAACTAAATATCTGGCATGCGCTATATTAGTGCCTGGCTAATACTTATTAATTCTTCAAATTTTGATAACCATAAAATAGAAATCGAGTTATAAACAAGTGAAAAATATGATACGCTTTAAGCGAAAAGTGAACTAAGATTTTAGCAACACTAATGCTGAAACATATACCAAACCAATAGAAGTGCTTTATTCCTACATTTTATTGCTTTCTTCTGTTGGTGGATGGTTTAAAAGAGAAAGAATTATAAATAAAGAAAAAAAATCAAAATTAGCATCATGTCAGATTGAAGAATGAAAATATCTGGTTTGCGTTAATATTTAATGCCTTACTTAATATTCAATCAATATTGCCAGGTACAAAAAAATTAACATTAGAAGTCAAATAAATATTATGCTATTATGACTTAAGCGTGAAGTCAGCCAAACTTTTAAAAGCATTAACTCTAATATTTATATCAGTAATTAGTGTATTTAGTATATTTTAGTGCTCCAACTCGTTTGGTAAAAGAAAAGGTCATTCTTAGCAAAATATTAAAAAAACGTCAAGATAAAAATCATGTTATAGAAGGAATATTATAGAAACATTGAATATAGGTACAACAATATGTAATTTTTTGAAGTTTTATTCTTGTAAATAAATTATTCTGAATATAGGCGCAGCCCGGATTTGGGAAGGGGGGGGAAGGGGAGGGAGGGGATGTTATTACTAAGCGGTCACTTTCCAGATAAATTTTATTGAAAGTTTAGATCCACTTATTGCAGTCATTTGATTATGTTACCATTTTTTTAAAAATAATTTTAGTTTTTCCCTTTTTTATAAAAATGTTTTTTTATGAAAATTCTGTATAGTAATTATTTTAAAAGATTATTAACTTAGCTTATTTTTTTCTTTGATCATAGTTAAAATCGTGCGCCAGTCGACCGTAAAAAAAATTTCCATATTTTTTCGACCTTTATAATACAAGTATTATAGCCCGTCAAAAATATGACAGAATAAAATTGTACTTTATAACAATCAATTACAAATCTTGAGAATAAAAGCTAGAGTGATATATCAAATACAAGTTATCTAACAAAATTTGCAAATATTCAACGACAAACATAAATTAAGATTCTGCCATAAATTAATAGTAACAAAATGCCATATTCTTATCGGAAAACGCCATCTACAGGATATATATGTTCAAAATATTTGGAAAGGAAAGAGGAACAAACTTCGGTTTCTTTCCATGCTAGCCAAATAAACCCTTTGTATTCCAGCAACTAGCATCACCTCTAGTAAAAAGGTATCGCTAGGTTAACGTTGAATTTAGGGATATCATTCTTATGCCCGGTAAATTTTAAAAAATTTATTTTTATAAATGACAATTAAAAAAAAATACAAAATTTAACTCGAAGTAATTCATTTTTTCAATAAAGAATATTTTACTAGTGAATATTTTTTTTAATTAATAATTTTATGGCGTCTTTCTTTCCTGAAAAAATCATAGCATTTATAAAAATTTATAATTTAATAAGAATTATATCTTACGTTTTAAGCATCGTGCAGCAAGTCGAATAGTGATATTTTGTATATGTTGGAGGGGGGGGGTCGTAGTGGGGAAATTTTTATCAGCTCAAAATTATATTTACGGAAAAGGCAAATTTATGATTATAAAGATCATAAAAATTATTATTAGAACATACCGAAAAATTACACTTCGTAATTTTGAATAGGCTGGTTAGTTGTATATTTTATTAATAAAAAAGCATATATGTAGTTATTTTTAAATTGCCACTTTCATTAATTTGACGTTACTTTCTAATTTGGTTATGAAAAAATATATTTATATAATTGTTATAACCCTTTATATCATAGTGGTAGAACTTTACAAAATCAAAACTTAGATCGTATAATAGCATAAAACGTGTAAGTATCTCTTTTAGGATTGATTTAGGTTCAAAACGTCATCTAAATTTCTGCCATATCAATCAAAATTTTAAAAATATTATTTAATTTTTTGATAAATTCCGTCAGACCATTTGCTAAACCAATTTTTTGAAAATATCAAAAATATTAATTAATTTTTGTAACTTTAATTTTATTAACACAATATATTCAATGATATGGAAACCAAATAAAAAGTAATTTAAATATCTTTTGACTATATCACTTTAAGTGGTCGGATCTAAGTATTAGAGTGGGGGAGGGGGGAGGTAAGGGGGGGCGGGTCAGAAATATTTTTATTAACATAAAATATTGATATGAGGATCGAATGAGGATAATGTAAATACTGATAAAAAAATCAAATAGAAGTTAATTAAAATAAAGGACAAAATTTTGATTCCCCGTCATTCTTGACGGGCTATCAGCTAGTTATGTTTTAATTTTAAATATGGAAAAAAATTAAACTGATTTTAAGATATAACACATTTAATTTAGAGTCTCTATATTCCAAACTTGTCACTCGAAAGAAATTATTTGGGAAAATAATTTTTGAATGATAAAAAAATTTCGATAACCAAGAGATAAAAAATAAATAGGTAACCTAATATATGAATATTTTGAATTGAGCCATATAAGTCCCAAAATGCCCACAATGATTGGGTTATATCAACATATATCACATTTCCAATCAAGAAACCATTTTTTTCCAAATTTACTTGACCTATATTAGAAATTAAAACCTATAAATTTTTAATTTTAACCCTTATTATCTATATAAAAAGCGATTTCATCTCCCAATTTTAATATAGATATAATATCTTTCATAACAACCCAATATTCACTCCGATCAACTAAAAAATTAGCTTCGTCAGGTAAGGAACCTTTGGGATTGATTTTACTTGGGTCACATGATGTCAATCCAAATGCCAAAGAGCCAACGTAAGAATTATTCACACCGCATACTTTAATTATAATCTTTTCGTATAAGTCAATAGGCCTTGCTGTAAAAACGTATGAATTACAAAATTCATTATTAAATCTCGAAGCAATAATTAAATCATTTATGTTATTCCCTTCCTTGTTTGATTTTGTAGAATTAATATTATTATTGCTGAAAGTTATAACAGATTTGGAGCATTGTTTTTTATTTGAAAGAGAATTTAAAGTGAGGCTATGTAATTGGACATTTTTTCCCCTTGCACAAGGGTGTGAGTGAAAAGGTAATGATATAAAAAATAATGGATCGTTTGAATCTTTTGCCATATTATAGTAAGTGGAAATATGTGATAAAATCTTTTTGTCCTTAACAACAAATGGGATCATTTTTAAAGTCTTTGATTCCATATTTAAGATATTTGATTGTCTAGTTTATTTTATATATAAATAATTGTAAAAGTTGTATATATAATTATCAGAGTTGGTAATAACGTGCTACGCATTAATTTTTTTAGTAACGGTAGCTAATAGCGCGCTAGTTTAAAATAAAATAGGTATAGCGGTAGCGCTTCACTTTTAAAAAGTATAATGAATATAACTATAAACATGAAAATTAAAATATAATTAATTCTAATTTAAAATTTTTATATTTTATTATTAAATTTGTGTTATAAGCCTAAACCATCTGGTGTAAATTATAAAATGGATATTGAAATCGATGTAAATGATTCAGACAATAAAAATATTAACTAGGGGTGTACCGATGCCACTTTTTGGAGGTCGATCATATATTACCGTTATTAAATTGATATCGGCTGATTACTGATCCGTTATCATATCTGATTTTGTATTCGTAAACATATTAATCGTTTTAATTTGTAATGCATACATCTACTGTTGCAAAATCGTTTCATTTGAGTCGTTAAAAGGGATAACTCACGATTTTATCCTACGCAAGTCTGAAGATTTTTCTCATAGATGGCGTAAAGGTTTAACATCTATTAGAGAAATCTCGAGGCTTTGGCAATATTTTTTAGGCAAAATATTAAATTATCTTTTTTTAAATCCTCAAATCGAGCGATTAGCATCATTCCAAACATCTACTCCTCTATATTTTTTAATATCCATAACATTAATAAATATAGTTTATATTCATGAATTTAAAAATATAAAATATTTTTATTGATAAATCACTTATTTATATAACACTAATCTATTTATAAGACGCCATTTTATCGGATCGGATTGGAAAATTTCATAATATTGCCAGAACTGAAAGATGAAATATCGGCCTGCAATAATATTAACAAATGGTAGGTAAACTGGAAGAAAATAAATTTTTTAACAATAATACCAACTCCGAAATTTGAAAAATATTTTCAAATTAATGAAAAACAAAAAATGGTACAAATTTATTTGTTTTAAAAAAAATATATCTTGAAATTAGGAAAGGTATTTATTAAATAACCCTAGATGAAATTCTGTTTATAATGCAATCCAGGCGCGTACGCGAGAACTTGTTATAGGAGGGGGGGGGGGTGATAATTTTAAATCATTCATGGAATATTTAATAACATCTTAATTTTTAGAAACTTATTAGGAGTATTGACTATAAAATATTATCAATTTCTAATATACAAATTCAAACATAAATTTATGATAAATATTAAATGTATTTGACATATGAATCACTAATAAATGTTTCGAAAAAGTATAAATTTTTAAAGCTTTTTTTAAAGTAGTTCTTTTTAAAGTTTTTAATTATATGTTGTATTCCATATATCAACTAAAAATACTCTATTCTCAACCCGACTACCTTAGATTGTTTTAAAAATTTGTATGTTGGTAGCATATACACTAACTTATAAAAATATAAAATTTTACTTTTCAAATCGGTTTACTTTTTCATATATACCTATCTTTAAAAACGCCAAAATTTATATTACATATTTAATTTTAAATATCTCAAGAAATAATTTTATTCTGAAGCCATAATTTATGTTTTATTATATAGCTATTATATCCCTTTAAGATGACATAAAATTTTATAGTGAAATTACATTTATTATGTAAAATCGGAAATAGGAAACCGGAAATGGCCATATAAATTATGTTCTTTTTTTCAATTTTTTAAAGATAGACATTATATATCCTAATATTTGTGAAAAATCCTGGTCTGGGACGAGTACTGAGCCAAGAGTTATTACACTTTAAATATAATTAATATGATTTAAATCTATATTATACCAAATAACAGTAATTTATTTCAAAAAAGTGGTCAATATATGTGAATAATAACATTAAGACTAATATTCTAAAAACCCCGACTATTTATGCTTTTATATTCAATATTTCAAATATATCGTAAAACGCCTTAATTTGGAAGCACTAAAAGAAATAAATAATAATGATTTTGTAAAAAGTAATAAATTATGATAATGATAATGAAACGTGAACTCATTAATAAAGATCGATATTAATTTATATGTTGTAGCCAATTGGAGAATATACATACTTCTTTGGGTGGGAATATTTTACCTCCTATTCAATTATTTATTGTGCAGTCCACGGGAAATGCACCTGAAAAGAAATAACATCCTAGACAGTCAAGTTTTCCAGCCCAATTGATTCAATCCAATAGGTTGGGAAAAGTCATGTCAAATATCAAGGTCATTGTAAATGGTACAAGATATATATGACATATAAGTGTGATAAATATTATGTACTTATTCATAAATATAAAATTCTCAAAATTATATCACCAAATTGAACTTACTACTTCTCAATGTTTTATTTTTGAAACATTCAAAAAATCATATAATGAATTATTTTTTTTGAAATTTTAAATACAAATATGTTTATATATACTAATGTATTAATTAGTGTTGTTAAACGGCTAAGCCGAATCGACTTAGCAGCAAATCGAGTCTAGTTTCTAGTCTAAAAACGACTTCGATTTGAATAGACTAATGAGCTCCATTGTCGACTATAGCTTAGTCGATTCCCGAGGCGATTTATATATAAAAATAAATGTTATAAAATTATATATAAGAATTCATAATCATAACTTTTCACTATCTATATCAGACCGGCAGAGGTACGATTATCATTAAAAAATAAAATCATCTTCTTTTTAATTATATCTCTTAAACTTATCCTTTTTCATTAATCGTGTATATGCCTTATTTTATTTTTTAGATATTCTCTTTTTAAATCCATTATTTTAACATTTTAATTGTATCCTTTTGATATATTCTATCAGAGATATTTTATTATAACAAATAAAGAAAATAATATAAAAAATCTAATTTTCTGGTGCCTCAGACGGCAAAAAAAGGAAGAAATTTTTGGAAATAAATAATATTTTTGCATATTTCATTGTATAAAATATAATAAAAATTGTATGTTATTATTTCATATTAATAAAGATTATGTACTTTTATTTAGTAAAAAAAATGTGTCCTTATTTAATTTATTTTAAAGTGTTATCCAAGTCAGCTATAAAATAGATATTTTAACTAAATGCTCCTTAATAAACAAAATTATATGTACTAGGATTGTACAATGAACTAGACTCTAGCAGTGAATTCCTACTGTTTCTAAGTTTATTTTTTTTGAGTTAGAAGTTTTTTTGTTAAAACTCAAAAGATATAATCATGCAAGATATTTCAAGGAAGGTCAATTCAGAAATTTTTAATTGCTTAGTTGGGCATTTTGAGACCAGAAACCTATATATGGATAACCAATCAAACCAGGGTAATGTGAATCGGGTCGGGTTCTAACCACTTTTAGAAAATAGGTTTTCGATTAAGTTCATGTTATCAAAATTTCCATCAAATAGAGTCTAAAATTTTTAAACCCGATTTCAGGTCCAGAACCCTTTTTAGTTTCAATATATTTCCTCTTTTTATAATTTTTGTTCACATCAATCAGTAAATTTAGCAATTGCATTAGCCATTTATAAAAATTGACCCGAATAGAGCTGTTTTACAAAAGACATGTAAATAATATCAAAAATTATAATTTACTTATAAAAAAATCAATTAAAAAATTGAGCCAACCCAGTGAGCGAACTAAGTGAACTGAGTAAGCTAGCCACCTAATAATGTTGTTTCATACTGCTCCTTGGCCAGCTTGAGTTGGAACCTTTTTTATGACTACAATTTGAGTTCCAAGTTGTAAGAACTCGACTATTTAACAATTGTATTAATAAACAAAAATAAATTTTTAAAAAAGTTTTTAGATTATAAATTAAATATTATAAGAATTAATTCACTTAATATATATATTATTGTAAAATATGGGTAATTCCATGACAAATCGACCAGCGATTCGGCCGACCATCTCAAAAATAAATGAAACTTGGCATGTTAGTTATTTATGTTGTAAATGTTAATAAAATCAAAATTTTAGATTGCTAGCTCAACCAGATCCAAAAATATACGCCTTCAAATTCGAAAATCGCGAAGTGAATGATTTCATTAAATCTTGTTATTTTAAAATGTTTAAGATAAAAAAATAAAATATTAACATTGTTAGGAAGGGACTTTTTTGGGTGGTAATATTAACTAAATATGTTTATTACCTTTATATTAAACGATTTAATAAAAAATATCGATAGCTATTTTTGTTTTTTTAATTTAATTTGAATTTTTATTATTATTATAAATAAAAAAATGTAATATAGATGGCGTTATATTAATTTTTTTTATAATATATAATTTATAATAAAAATATGATGATTAAAATTAAAAAATCAATTGAGTATAACCAAGAATGATGTCCTGGGTGATATGTAAGCAGGCAGTCGATATAGATATGATTTTATTAGGACGCTGTATTATTAAATAAATATATTTTAAAATTTTATACACAAACAATATAAAAATAAATACCTATTATTTTAATCTTATCCCATTTTGTGCTTATTAATAGAATTTCTTGAGACGATAATTTGTAGGTACGTCCTGTCACTGTAATAGGATCTGCTACTGTTATTATTTGATTAATGGGTAACCATATCTTTTCCGCAATTGTGGGAAGAAGGATGGTGATGGTCCATGGGGATGTAAAAAGGAAATATATATCTCCTCAGTAATTTCATTCTTTTTTAGTACTGCGGCTAACCACCAAAAATCGTCATAAACACATGTTACGAATCCTTTAATATCGGCAAAAGACAAATTATCGGCATTTGAGATATTGTTAATTTGAAAGTCCTCTGCATATGAATATATTTTTGATTTAAGTTTACTTAAACTCAAAGGAAATACAGCATGTATTTCCCGAGTTCCTGGAATGGGATGAGCTAAATTGAATCTTTCTCGTAGTTTAATCTCTTGTAAATTGTATTGTTCGTTGGTTATATATGTAAAATTTACTAATGGCATGTTTTGTTTTGCAAATTGATATATCAACTGGCATTAA